TGAATTGCATTGAAAATTTCTTCTATGGTGTCATGTGCTGAAACAGCCACTGTGGGATGAAATTTAGGAGAGACCAAATCACAGGCTGTTCATGTTATTTCTTCACCTTAGTCTATTGTCTGTCTGTGAAATGACCAAAAGGATGTAGGCTGCTTGCTGTGAGACAAAGTGGTTTTCTAGATTCTCCAGTTTAAATATTCAGTGGTACTTTTACTAAACATATAAATTGTCTGAATGGAACTCTCCATTTTAAGGCTTAAAAAGGAAAGTGAAATACAGACACCTCACCTTTTCTTCTTGAAAGATGCCTTTTGATTTTCAGACCACTCTCAGGGGCAGTTTAGAAGACTATTCTTAACTCATTCCCTTTTTATTCCAAATGGAATGGGTTTTTTGGCTTTTCATTACTTTATTCTCTATCTTTAGACTTTTCCCTCCTCTCCATAATGAAATTTCCAGGTTTAAAGAAAATCATAAGCCCTTTATGTAGCTTTGACATAGAACATGTGAACATGTCCAGGAACGTGGCTGAGAAGAAGCCACGTTCAAGATGATGGTGCCCTGGACTTGGTTTGGATCTGAAGGCTGGATCTAAGTGTGTGTCTAAAAGAAGTGACAGCATTTGCCTAAAGGAACATAGGGACCTGCCCATGCTGAATACCTGTTCTCTGGGGAAATCTGACATCCACACAGCTTTGCGTTTTCTAGAGCAGAGCTTCTCAAACATCACTGTGTGTCTGACTCCCCAGAGGGTCTTGTTAATAGCAGATCTGGGATTCTGCAGTTCTGATAGACTCTGGACTACCAGCGCTGCTGGTCCCTGGGCCACCCCTTAAGTGTCTAGTGAACAAACAGTCTCCTGTGAAAGTGCAGAACAAAGAACGGCTGGCCTGTATTTTTGTGTACTGGCAAAATAAATTTACCTCTTTTCACTAGAAGCAGTGTTTATTTCTCCTGCCCTTCTGAGTGTCAGTGTAATTTGTAATCCCTTTCTTTTGTAGCCACGGAGTTCTTCATTTAATTAGTAATGGGTTCTGACTATAGAAGTAAGATGGTAGATATTTGTTACAAAACTTGGTCCAGCCTCCTTAACTACCCAAGCGCATACAAGGGAATAGGTTTTAAGTTTGTGTTTAGCATCTGTGCATCATGTTAGACCCGGGATGATGAGCACACCATTTATCACTTTTCAGAATTGAAATGTGTTGTTCTAGGAACCAGTTTCTTAGATCTTGGATGATGGCGGCCTCTAGAGTTGGCACAGGCAGTTCCTTGCGTGGGCCCAGTGCTTTCTGTAGTGCTGCTGCTGTTGTGCTGCACAAAGCCCCCTCTGTGTGTCAGGCCCCTCAGTGGAGAGCTGAGTCACGGGAAGGCACGGCATCGTCACCTTCGCCTTCTGAAGCTGCCTCCACCTGGCTCCGTTCGCCACCCAAGCACCCAGAAGGAGTCTCCTGGCTGGCGAGCGGCCCTCCTGTCAGTGTTTCACACACCCGCTCTTTGGAAGTGAGATGTGCTCTCGGGCAGCTCCGTTTCCAGGCCCCACCACACATACCTGCTTTTTGAGCAGCACCCTGAAAGTACCCCTTTTCTCCTTGCCGTTCATGACTGTGGGACACTTGTTGACGACCTTCGTTTTCTCATACTCCGTTTTCTAGGTCCCTCATTTAAAGCAAGCAGTTTGAAAGCAGATAAGAAGTTGGAATTTGTTCCCACAAACTTGCACATACAGAGGATGAGAGTTCAGGACGATGGAGGATCAGGTAACTCTTTTTCTGCTTGTCGTGTTGAGTCACGTTTCACGGCTGTTCTCCCTGTGGGCTTGGCCCCCGAGCTGCCCCACATCTGTCCCAGCCTTCCCCATGTGTTCTGCTGGGCAGCTCGGATAAGAGACACGTCACAGGACCCTTGTCAGGTCTTCGTTAAGGAGCACAAGTCCCTGCCTCTTTGTTTCTCCTCTGTCCAGCTTGCCCGTCAGTCATACTTCCGAAGAAGGGGAGCAGGGGAGCTGAGCCTTGCTGGGTAGCTGCTTCCAGCCCTGTGTGGCTCCACCCTGGGACGTATAGAACCCCCTTTGTGAAATGGTGGTGCTGGGCTCCAGAGGCCCTCGGACCATGTAGGCTATGGGACTAAGGGAACCACAGGCTGCCGGGACTTGGGCGGAGGGGCAGGACCCAGAGCTGTGTGCATATCCCTGTAGCTGGCTCGTCCACAGGCCCGAGCCCAGAGTAACGGAGGAGAGCTTTCTGTCATTCAGATCAGAGCTACGACATTGTCACCATCGGGGCGCCTGCAGCACACTGCCAAGGTTTTAAGTCAGGAGGCCTCCGCAAAAAGCTGCACAAATTTGAAGAGACTAAGAAACAGTAAGTTCTTGGGGGCTGTTTGTGGTCCTTGTACAGCTGTCTGTCTGATGCTTCCTAGAAAAAAAAAATCAAAATATGACCACAAACACATCTAGCCATTCAGTCTGCTTTTGTGTGGGAGAGGGGCTGCCTAGGAACCCTGTGCTGCTGTATGTGTGTGACTGAAGTGGGGGTAATGACAGCACCTGATCAGTGGTCCTGTCCCTACAAATTGAAATCCACCTTGAAAGTGGTGCTTTTGGTGGCTGTCTTATTGGACTGCTGGGTTGGCTGTCCTTGAAAGTCCCTGGTCAGTCAGCTGAACATCACAAAGTGTGCAGCCTGAGAGAGACTGTTTACTTTCCTGAGGGACAACCATGATAAACGTTCCCAGTTTTAAAAAGGCTCAAGAGGCTACATGGAGCTACTGTCCTGAGCAGGAAATCACCGGGTAGCAGGGTGGGGAATGGCAGCGTGGAGCACGCAGTAAGGTGCGGCCCGAGGCCCGGTGACCCAGTGCTTCGGGGAGAGGAGCCAGGGGGGCGCTGGTGACCAGGGACGCAGGACTGACAGATCTAGGCCTGGCCCTGAGGGGCTTCGGGCCTTGCCTGAGAACAGACACGTGTGCACCACCCCCTGGAGCCAGCAGTGCCATGCTGGGGAGCAAGCAAGCAGAGGGTAATGTGGACAGTAGAGCCGGGCTGGTCGGGAGAGAGCTGAAAATGCATGCTGGAGTGTCGGATACGTGGGAGGCAGTGGTGACTTTCCAGAATGTCACTGTCAGGATTTAAATAGATCAAAGGATCTGAGTGTAAGATGTGGAGGTAATGAATATAGATGGTCCTGTAAGATCTTTGAACCAGGAAACAGGAAGTAGCTCGAAGGTCTGCTGTTTGGGGAGGATGATTGTGATGTGAGCATGTGTTTAGGATGAGAGAAAAGATGGAAGCAAATGAGGTAGATGGACGAGAACATTGATGGAGCGGGTTCTGGAGAAGATGGCAAGGGCCAGGACCAGGCAGTTGGTCCTAGAAGGGACGTGAGAAGAAACTGGGGGTGACACAGAGGTTTCAGAGGTGGGAAGGAAAGAGCTGAAGTTTCGCCGAAACAGCCTCGCAGAATGTGGAGTTGAGAAGTCAGACTTATTGATTGGGCGTGGGATGGTCTGAGGGCAGGTCAGGCCAAGGCGCAGGGAACCTCACTAGAGCCCGACAGCGTGGTCAGGTGGGGAGCGTTCGCAGGTGCCGGAGCCAAGGGGGTCCTAGCCTGGCTCTGTGCTTCTGTGGCCGGGTGTCAGGACATGGCTGGAGGAACGTGACATCAGACTGGGCGAGGGAGGGGTAAGGTCAGGTGCAGTGGTTGACCAGTGGGATGAGGGGGTCAGGGATGCAGCTAGAAGTGTTTCTGACCAGGGGGACCAGGTGGGCAGAAGAGAGTGCCCTGTGAGAAGTCACCATTCCAATGTATGCACAGGGTGCCCTGAGCCCAGGAAGTCTTGGAGACAGGAGGAGGAACAAGAAAGGGTCACATGGGGAAGGGGAGTTTTGGCCTGGGTGAGGGGGGTGGTATTCTCTGAGAGGCCCACAGACAGCCTGCTCCACCTTGATTCATCCCCACCCAGGGCTCTCCCCTGTGCAAATAAGCCAGGTGCCCCACCCGCCTGAGGACTCACCGGCTCTAGTGTTCCTCTGGGCATTGTGACAAGGACGAGGCTTCCTGTTCCCACCACAGCTCTACACAGGCAGCGGAGATCGTGTGTCTGTTGCGCCATTGCATGGGTCTGTGTGGAGTGTGAGTGTGCATTTTGAGGGTGATGTGGGGGCCCCGGAGGAGAAAGCCAGTCAAGGGGGGTGCCCCTGGCTATCCTTGTCCCAGGAAGGTCGTCCTGCTGATACCTGATCACTCTGCGTGTCATCTTAAGAACTTCTTAGCCCCAAAATGCCTCTGAGGTAGTTTTCAAATATATGTTTTTATTTCCTACTCATGTCCTGAAAGCATTTGTAGGAATGGTTTTCATCATTGGTACTCTCCTTTAAATGCAGATGTAACTTGCCCGCCGGTGGGATGTCTCCCTGGGCGTGAGCACAGCCCCTGACGTGGCTGTGATGAACAAGCACGTGGGGATCATAAGTTAACCGTCTCTCGACAAATAAATTCAAGTATTTTGACAAAAGATAACTTGGCTTTTTAATTTTTGTTTTGCATTTGGGGTTTGCTAACAACTGCTAATATTTTGTTTTGGTTCTTTTCTTTAGCAGTTTTGAGGAGTGTTGGTGAGTTTTCTGTCTGTGGAGAGAGTGTCTGTCTGGGTCTCACTCTCATGCAGAGAAAGCCTGTGCTGTCCCCTCCCCTGTGAGGTGCTGTACCCTTGGTGCCCCTGTGGGCTTCTAGTTACAGCCTTGTAAACAACTGTCCCTTCCAACTGCAATGTTCTTTGATAATGAATAGCCAACCTCCAGTCTACTGCTCTGTCTTTTAAATCGGGCAGCTAGTGCATTGCTCTGCTCACTCAGAGCAGACCCGGTGCTGTGTCTCCCAGGATGACAAGAGCCAGGCTGGCAAGTGCCCGGTGATGCTGGTGTGTCAAGTCCTGCCACTGGTGCAGTCTGGAACCCCTTTCTGGCTTCTTTTATAAGAATCTGGGGCTTTTCAGTTTCTGCTTCACCATCGCACCTTCCGGGAAGGAAGCCAGCTTATGTTTTCACGATACTGAGTAGTTGATGCTTATTTATTTATTGATGTATTTATTTATTCATTCATTTATTCATTTATTCATTTATTTTAAGCTGAGCCATCCTGCCACCTGTTGGCAGCTCAGTGGCTGCTCAGCTCAGGCCAGGAATCGAACTGGCGACCCTATTGCTCAGAGCTCGCACTCTTGAGCAGGCTCTTAACCAGCTGAGCCACTAGGCGGGCCCTTAGTTGATACATATTTAAAACAGTGTTACTAGTGTCAATTTTACCAAGAATTACAATAACCAAGTGACTTTTCCCACCAAATAGTGGCAGCCAGAAACCATCATGTCTGCTGCCTGGGGGTCCCCACTGCTGCCCCAGGCCCCCCAGTCATGTCCAGAACTGGGGCTCTGCAGTGGTGCTTCTTTGGGTGACACGCCCCAGAGGCACTTTGGAGTCGCTGCCCTCTTGGGGCTGGTGACACTCAGAGGCTGTGGCTGGGCCCTGCCTGAGATGTCAGGGCTCTGCGGGGAACCTGTGACAGCAGGAAGTCCTGAGGAACACCCCTCCCAGCTGAGGCCTCCTGAGCTTTCCCCATTTTCGGGACCAGGCAGTTGAGCCCACATGCTTATATATTCATGATCAGCCCTGAACCGCAGCTCTTTGAAATCTATTCGTATCCTTCGTGTGCATAAGGCCCAGGTTACTATTATTAGGACGTGGCCTGTAAGGACAGGGTGAGTGGGGTGCTGCTCTTCTCAGGCGTGGGTGAGGGTGTGTGTTCGTTGGTGTGCACACAGCCATGTGGCACACACTACATGTGTGCTCTGAATATCGAGGCCTGGGAAGAGGACATGATTTTTCAATTCTATTTTGAGATTGTATTTTTGAGACGGAAACGTCTTAAGTGGCAGCTATTCATTTGGAAGAGTGATTGCAGATTGGAAAGTCCTTGTGTGCACATCGTGCATGGAATGACCCTTGTGGGACCACGTGGGCTTAAGCACAGTCTGCTGCATGGGCTTTGGGCACATCCATCGTTTTCATTGTGTGTGGGCCTGGGTGTGGTTTCTTTCTGGGGTGCTTTGGGCTTTGCTTTTTGCATGCTCACCCCATAGTCCATCAAAGGAACGGGCAGGGCAGTTTCTTGGTGATCCACCTTCAGGGTACCCTGGAAAGAGCCCATCGAGGAAGGTTCTTAGCCCTGCCCATATCACCCCCACCCCCAGGGAAGGTGATGGAGGCTGTGGCTCTCCACCTTCTCCCTCCTCCCCCAAACTCAAAGGGTGGCTGTGAGGGGACCAGTCAGGGCCCCCCATTCCATGAAGGATGGGACACCCACTCCAGTCAGAGCACACGACTTCACACTGTGGGAGAGACCTTTTCATTGGCGCCTTATACTTCCCCTGCCCACTTCCCTTGGCTTCCTCACATGGCCTGAAAAGTCAATTTATAATATTGGATTGATTTGGGATCTTAGCTGGGAGACACACAATTTACCATCTTCTTCTAGAAGGGCCAAGTGTGCCGGCCAGGCCCCATGTAGCTGGGCCCACAGACCTGGTTCTCCAGAGCCTGTGATTGTGCTGGGCAGTGGCTGAGCCATAGCTTTGACCTCCAATCCCAAGATGCACATGCTGTTGGTGGCGAGGAGGCGGGCAAGGAGGAAGAACCAGGTTTTCAAAGCCATTGAGGAGTCCAGGCCTGGCCTCTGGCTTGGCATAGTCTCCACCCCCTTCTCCTCTGTTAGAGCATTAATTTTCAAAGATGGGAAATCCTGGAGCAGGGGGCAGGGAAGGAAGCCCGTTTTAGGGGGACTTGCTGGGGTCAGACATGGGAGGGAGAAGAGCTGTGGGGGTGTGCACAGGAGGTCTAATGCCCCGATTGACCAAATGAGAACACCAAGGGTCATTTCGACCAAGCCCAGCACCGGCGGCAGTCTCCCCCTCCACTGTGATAAACTGACCCCTTCTAGTATCAGCAGACCCCATGTCTCTGCTTAAATCCTGCTTAGAAGTTGACAGGTGAGGTTCTTAGGTAAACGATTATGAGCATTTGGGTAATTACCGGCTTTAACATCTGCTCATGATGTACATACACATGGTATAAATTCAGATAGACAAATGTAGATAAAAGGCTTCATTGCATTTTCATATTTCAAACTGCTGCCGTCCAGACAGAAAGTGCCTCCTGAAATTTACTTTTGCCCACCATTAGCTAGCCCAGTCCAGGAAAATGTCCTGAGTGACAGAATGGTTTATTCTGTGTTGGTCGTGGGCTGGGGTTGGGAGGGTGCCACCATCCTCTTTGATTCAAGAGAGCCCCTTAGAGTCCATTCTTATCCTTTTTAGTACCTCATCCAGCTGCCAGTCCATAATCTACATACCACAGGACATCGTCAGAGCCAAGGAGATCATCGCCCAGATCAACACTCTGAAAACCCAAGTGAGTTACTATGCAGAGCGGCTCTCGAGGGCGGCCAAGGACAGGTCTGCCACTGGCCTTGAAAGAACTCTCGCCATATTGGCAGACAAGGTAGGAGGGGCTGCCCTGCTGTGTGTGTGTGGGGGGCTCCCTTGGGTTTCTGGAAACACTGGGACACCTTGTATGTACCCAAAGCTGTCCACACCAAGAATGACATTGAGGTGACCCTGAAGACCTAGCTTCAGATCCAGTTCCCACAAGGCCCAGGGATGTTTGGTGATTTGCTCATGGTCACAGAGCTGGATGGGGCAGGCCAAGGATAGAGCCCAGGGCTGTGACACCAGCCGCTGCTTCAGGCAGATGTGTCCCCCAGCAAGTCCACGGGGGTCACCATTAAGGCTGGGATCGTTCCACGGCTTTCTTGGTAACTTCCTACTCAGCATATTTGTGCCACTGTTCTATTGTACTTGGAATTCGAAAAAAGAAAGTGAGCTAGTATACAGACAAGATAAATTTTATTGGCTTATGTAAAATCAGTAAACCAGCCTCTAAATAACTAATCTGATCCTGATATAAATTTATAAATATACGTCCCTACCGGGGGGTGCAGATATATCAGATCCTTTTGATGGGTGATGCTGTTTCAAACTACTCAGTTTCTCAATATACACACACGCACACGCATGCTCAGAGATTCTGATCATACTTCCCCCGTCACACTCGCTTTGCTGGGGTGAGATGCTGTTCCTGATCAGAGCATGTTCTATCCTTCACATGTGTTCACCAGCAAAAAGACTGAGAGCTGGGATTAGGTCCACTTGGAAAAGAGAGATGTTGTCAGAAGTAAAATGACGAGCCACAAGGCCCCTGTTGCATGCAGAATTCCCCAGAACCAGGGTGCTGTGCCAGGAACCCTCTGCCCAGAGCCCAGGGCTTCAGGTATTAGGTGCAACAAGATAAGGCTTCAGTGACTGAACCACAGTAATCCTACACCCTGGAATTAGAGGGGACGGCTCAGGAAGTCCTCGAAAGGTGGGACACTGGGCTTTCTTCAGGCCCTTCCTTGAGCAATGTCAGCCTCAGAGGCAGGCAGGGGTCAAAGACTGTCAGAGGTTTCTCTGCCTCCCCTCGTCTTCCTTGTGTTCTCCAGTCTTCTTGCTGGGAAAAATTCTTGCAGAGATTTGGCCAGGTCGGTTATGTGGCAGCCTGTAAGCTCAGCGTCCTGAGGGCTGCAGCTCTGAGTTGTTTGTGCTGAGGGTGGGGTGCTGGGCTCTTGGGGAGGACAGGCCATGCAGACCCTGGGCTGGGGCTCAGCAGCCTGGGTGTGTGCGTGCATGCAGACCCGGCAGCTGGTCACCGTCTGCGACTGCAAGCTGCTGGCCAACTCCATCCATGGGCTGAACGCTGCACGGCCTGACTACATCGCCTCCAAGGCTTCCCCCACCTCGACCGAGGAGGAGCAGGTGATGCTCAGGAATGACCAGGACACCCTCATGGCCAGGTGGACAGGCAGGAACAGCCGGTCTTCTCTGCAGGTGGACTGGCACGAGGAGGAGTGGGTGAGTTTGCTGCCCACGGCCCCTCCTGCTGCTGAGATTGGGTTGAAAACATGAAGCCTCTCACTAGCCTCTCCCTCCAGAGGGGCCTGGAGGGCCAGCTCTGCAGACAAACCCCAAGTCTCCTTCCTGGGTGGCTCCGGGGCCACCTGATTCAGGGAGGGAGATGGTATTTCCTTACCTGTGTCCATCAGGAGCAGGGCTCCTGTGGGCGGGCCGGTCTCAGAGTTGGCTCTCCCTGTCACCCTCGCCCCTGCCCCTGCCCCTCAGTCTCTGTCGGGCCAGCCCCCCTGCTCTTGGTACAAGTGCAGCTGTGGGCACTCAGGTGCCACGGCAGCTGGTGAGGATTTGGAAGATGCTGCTCTGACATCGCATTATTTTGTTGTTTCCTCACAGAATTGTCCCTGAGAACAGATCTGTGTCTCCTGAGGGAGGGGACGTATCATACAACTCGTTTTGTTTTTTATGGGGATGACTGTTTAGAGGCAGTTCTGCGAGGTCCTGAATTATACTAGTTAGCAGCGAAGCGCTTGGGCACCCTGTGTGACCCCAGCCCTCCCTCACGTCCTCCCACCCCCCACCTGAAGTCATCAGCTGTTTCCATTCTCTTCCATCCAAAAGAGATCTCAGTCCCCTGTGGTGTGATGTTGTAGGTCTGCAGCGGAGGGAGGAGGGGACATCGCTGGTGCACTGGGCTTTGTGTCCCTTCTTTTAGCGCTGGGAGGTACTGCCAAGTCCTGTTTGGCCTCCTTGACAGTTACTAGTGAATGGCTCCCAAACTTTAAAAACAGTAACCACAGGACATTGACTCATTTTTGAAAAGAAAATGCAGCTTTACCTTTATTTGGGGAATTATGAATCCCATCGATGTTGATCAATCCTGTGGTGCTTTATTGAGCACGGTGGCCGGGGTGGGGTTGATGGGGGAGCGTTTCGTTTGTGTTCTGTTCTGTCTTTCTCGTTGGGGAGCTGACCCAAATGAGCCCTCTTGGTTTGGAAGGAGAAAGTGTGGCTGAATGTGGACAAGAGCCTGGAGTGCATCATCCAGCGGGTGGACAAGCTGCTGCAGAAGGAACGGCTGCTTGGCGAGGGCTGTGAGGATGTCTTCCCCGGTGCGGGCAGCGGCACCAGCAAGAAAGGTAACCGGAACAGCCACGCCTACTGGATCAGGCCGGAGCACTCCTTCTGTGACGCCCCCTCCTCACCACGCCCCTCCACCACGCCCACCGCTGCATGCCATCCTCACCTGACCACATGTGCGTATGCATCCACGCCTACCCGCTCGCTGCCTCCACCTCACGCTGCTGCATCTGTCTGTCTGTCTGTGTCTTACTCCGTGTTCTCCTTCCCACGCAGACTGCAGGGAGGTCTGTCGGGCAGGGCAGGGTGTTGCAGGTCCTGGAGCAGCCGCAGTGAGGCGTGAGGCCCCTGGGCTTCATGCCCCTGGAGCCCGCGTGTGCATCCGCTTGTCTGGCAAAGGCAGACTGTCAGGGCCCTCCTGGGTCACGCTCCCGCCACAGTGAGGATTGGGCTCCTGGGCTTTTCTGGTTTGTGAGCCAATCTGAGAACCTGGAGGAGGCAAAAGTGCAGATTCCTTTCTGATGAGGCTGTGTGCTGCACCAGGAACGGTGCAGGGGCCCCAGCTGGAGGAGAGCTGTTAGCAGGCCTAGTGGGCTTGCCTGAGGCTGGTTATCATTGGTTGGGCTTGCCCATCCAGCAGAAGCACGTTGCCTTGGGACGTGTTGGTGACTCAGCCTGGTGGTGGCACCAGTCCTGTGCCCCTGGGGACTGAATTAGGTTTCTCCGTTGTCACCACCTCCAAGGTGGGGCCTCTCAGTGATTGGTAGGACGTTGGCACAAAGCAGCACACTTCGGAGTCTCCTGTCTGCGGAGACATAGAGTGTAACCAGACACTTGGCCCTGTTTCCAGCCTTCAGGCGGGGGATGCGCGCTTTCTCATAAAGCGTCTCCCTGGTCCCTAGAGCTCAGGGCCCCATGCCTTGTCCTGTAAGAGCTGCAAGGGTTAAGAAGGCCGGCAGCTGACAGCTGGCTGCAGACCTCTTTTCTGTTTCCTTTTTTCTCTCCTTTGGGGGTGTTTAGCTGTAGGAAGTAAGGCCCAGGTGTGCCAGGGTTAGGCTTCCTACAGTGAGGACCTGTAATTAATTTCTGGATTGGGCAACTTTCATTCAAGGCAGAATCTTTCTGTATCACAGCCTCTTGATAAATCCTCCTCAGTTTGTAAGATTTCCTGCACCTTCTTAATCTGCCTGCAGTGTGTCTCCAGGGCACACTTGAGCCTCTGTTTCAACAGTGTTCACTCCTCCACTCTTCCATCCCTGAGGGATTAGTTTCAGTTCCCCAAACTGTGATTGATTCATGGACCTACTTTGTCTTTGTTCGTGTTCTCATTTGTTGTTTGTGTTTCTTTTAAAAGTTTCTGAAAGTTCATTGCTCGTTTCTCTTTAATATTGTCTTGCTTGTACTTTTAAATTTTTTCTGCAGATACAAAAAGTAATTTATTGGATTTTTTTAAATGCAGAAGAGTTTATTTAATCAGAAGTACTGTTGTATCCATAACTCAAATGTCATTTTTTTCTAGGCACATATTGTATTGTTCAAATACAGACAAATTTAAATGCAGTTTTAAAGTTATTTAAATGAGCATATATTTATGATGGTTAGGGCTTTGCTTGTAAAGACTGTGAGCCGCGTACTTTGCTCAGCCTCATGTGCTCAGGGGCCAGAGCTGGGCTCTGTCATGACTTTTTAGACCATTCCATGTTACTGTTGTTTTGACCTGATGCCGTGTTATTTATTACACACGGACAACTCCGTGCCTCTCTGAAAGGTATCGTCACTTTTTGTTCCAATTCTGTACCTATCCTGGGTCCTTGGTTTTCATCTTTCACCCAGGAGCTGCCCTGCCTCTCAGCTCGCCTTCCTGTAGACATGATCAGAACCTTGTCTGGAGGGCAGGGGTCATCCAGGGCCAGGGCTCCGCAGGACCCACTGACAAGTCCCTGACAGCTGGAACCACAGAGGCTCTGTAAGCCTCTCTCTCCCCCTCCCTACAAGCTCCCCACACCCCTTCTGTACCCCCTGCCACCTGCCAGGATTTGTGGCTTCCATTACCTTCCACATGCACACTCCCTTGCGCTCCTCGTCCACGAAGAGCCATTCAAACCTGGACCAGGTTGTTCTTAATCTGAAGTCTGTGGGTCACTCCCAGCATCGTGTGCCCTGGGATTATGTGCTAGAATGAGAGAAAGTCCGTAGTGGTCATCAGATCTCAAGGGCCTCCATGACTTAAGACAAGTTAAAAGCAGCTGGTCCAGGAGTACTCGGTGAGACCACTTCCTCTTCCTGTGACTGTAAGATGAGTTTACCTGGCTGGGTTTAACCCTGATGCCTTCTCAGAAATGGTCCAAACCTAGCCGTCTGGGATCACCACAGAAGATTTTAAAAACAGACCCCAGACTTCCCTCCTTCTTCAGACCTGGAATCTTGGAGGAAGAGTTAGGAGGAAGCAGAAATGCATTTTTTTTTTCAAGGCCTGGGTGATTCTGATTAGTCAGATGTTTCAGAATCATCCTCTGCATCTCCACACTATGGGGTCTCTCCATTTGTTAGGTCCATGGGCTCTAATGAAGAGCTTGAAGTCTGCAGCTCACAGAGGCCTGCAGTTTTGCTCTATTTCTGTCCCTTTTGCCAGTCATTGTGAAAAATGACTAGAAGGAAAGGATCCCTCGCCACCCCTTCTGCACAATTCCACAAGTTGTGGAAGTCTCCATAAAGCCGGTCCTGGCTATTCTTGGGGATCTGAAACTACCTATTTCACTATCCTGAAGACATTCTTTGAACTGAAAAGTTTGCACAATAAAATAAAATAAACTTTTCCTCCAAATGATCCCTTTTTAAACTTGTTTTCTTTTAGGTGGCACACCCAGTTTACCAGGAAATTTAGTTTTTTAGGGAAATGTGAAATTGAAATGAGCACTGCCCAATGTGACTCCATGTAGGTGAAACTGAACTAAAATTGGTATTCTTTGAGGGATCTGGAGGGACATTCCAATTTTAGACTTCCCCCAAATCATAAAAGTTTTATATTTGGCTTAAATTTGAAAGTGTGGCATAGATGTTTCTAGTATAATGGTTTCATCACTGGTCCCAGCTTTGGACCTCAGCGGCCAGTCTGTAGCCCAGGGTCCACCAGTCAGCAGGGCGGTGGCTCTGCGTTGGGAATACGCTATGGACCCGGCCAGTCTTCTTTCATTTCAAATTTGCTTCCAGATGTTGTGAGTCAGCGTGGCGCTCTGCCACATACAATGTGATGGACGTGGGCACTTCATCACATCGTAACATGTTGGGGCGCTCATCCCCGAAGAGCATTTCATGTTGACCTGTGAGCAACATGAATACTTACGCCTGTCAATTGGGCCGTATTTGCTACCGGGGGCTCGGCAGCCTCAGAGCTGCCAGGGCGTCCCCGTGTGACTTGTTGGGGAAGAGGCAGGCCGGCTCCCTCTTCTCTATCCAGGTTAGCCACCTTACTGCAAGCTGCCGACGCAGTTGCTCTAAGCGTTGAGTTGTTGTTTGAACTGTGTGCTGCTCCTTAATCATCCATGTCGCCCTCCGTTTCTGTGCAGATTGCAGCCCCCCTCCTGAAGAGTCCAGCCCAGGTACGTGGTTTCCGCTCGAGGCTTCGGCAGGTGTCTTTTTAACACTCAGCTAGCATTTGTAGCCGCATATCAGAGACCACCTTGTGCTCCCAGGGTGAGGAGACTATTTTAGGAGTCTCTTCATGGTGAGGCATGTGGCCACTTTGCTGAGGTTTGGTGAGGGACCTGTTGGGCTGGGGACTGTGGTCTGAAGCAGGCCGCCACTTTCTTTTTTCCCCACTTTCCCATCCTAAAGCCTTTTCAGATGACTAATGTCCATGAGTGCATTGAACTTCCTGACATGGGCCACCTGATTCAGAGAGGTACTTCCTGTGATTTCCCTGAACTCAGGAGCGTCATGTGGAGGGGACTATGGATAATAGGTAGTCGCCCAAATGTGATATTCGTGACCACATAGCACCCTCTCTTCTGAGTCTGGATGCAGTTTTAGCTTCCTGTCAGGCGTTGCTGTGGGCCTCAGTTGGAGTTAGTGCTGGAGGTAGGAACTTTTGCTGCATTTGCACGTAGAAATAAACGTTTCCGGCTCTAGTGCAGAGGTTGGCACACTGCAGCTCTGAGCCGAGTCCTGCCTGGCGCCTGCTCATGTCAGTAAGGTTTTACTGGAAACCAGTCATGCCCATGTGTTCACATATTGTCTCTGGCTGTTGTTGTGGGCAGTACCAGAGTCCAGTAGTTGTGAGGGAAACCTCATGGCCTTCGAAGCCTAAAGTATTTATTGTCTGGCCCTTGATGGAGAAAGTGTGCCGACCCCTGCTCTAGTTCATATTGAGTTTCCCGGATTGGCTTGTTTCCCCAGAGTGAGCATGAGACCCCCCCTCCTCCCCCAAACGCTCTGTTTTTCCTAACCTCCAAAAAACAGCTGCATGACCGTCTGGTGGTCACAGATTTCTGACTGGATATAACTGTGAGATGGCAGGACACTTGCTTTGTATCTAGGGGGCAAGAAACAGGTGATTGCGGGATTTACCAGCCTCTGCCTGTCAGGTGTTAGGGGGGCCTCTCAGCTCGCACAGCAGCTTGATTCCAGCTCGGCTCATGGGGTGGCTACTGGACGCAACCTCAGAGCCCCATCGATGTTAGCTTGTCAGTGGTCTAAATCTGAATGGGTACATCATATCCTCCAGTTTTCTTTCAGCCCCCTTACAGTTTCTCTTTCCCAAAAAAGTTTTTGTGGGATCTCTGACCCCAGTCCCCTGGACCCTCAGGGCCGCTGAGGCCCCGGGAGATGCACAGGTCGTCACTCGGACTCTCCTCCCCATTACCTTTCCTGGCGCCCCTTATCTCTGTGTCTGGGCTTCCTGTCCTCAGCTCACCTCCATGGCACGTCAGTGCCTTCATGCTGAGCTGGTTTCCCCGGAGCCTGAGTGGTGGTGGAATCGGGATCACACCCAGCAGTCAGGGCCCCTAGGAAAGGGGGTGGCAGTGTCGGGGACCTGCCACCTGGAAGCTCAGGAATCTCCTCCACTCGGTGTCCCGAAGTTTATAGAACTCGTGGGAAGACTAGTGGGTTCGCAGGCAGGCAGCACATGGGCAGGGCCTGGCTTCTAGAACTCAGCTGTCTGTCAGCTGTGTCCTTTCCAGAAGTGCTGGTGGCTTGTCCACAGTTAATGTCAAATGGACTAAAATGGTCCCCTGCCAGGAAGGAGTTCCTTTGGCTTTTCCTGCAGAACTTTATTAAATCTGGGTTCACACACACACACACACACACACACACACACACACACACACACACACTCTCTCTTTTTCTCTCCCCACTCCCTCCTTACCCGATTAATGAGGAACAAGTACAAAAGTATGGTCCATGGATTGGCTGCCGGTCAGCGAGTGTTTCAGGTTAGCGATCGGATTAGGAACTTGTGCCCCGAAGTGAACCAGCCGCATCACTAAGGACACTTGTTAGTCACTGCTGTGTTTTTCAGAGCTAGACTTCATTGATGCAGGAAGCAGAGTATACATAACCCCTTCACCAACCCTAACATCCCAGCTACCTTCACTTAACTAAAGGTCCTTTGTTTGGAAGTTTTTAATTTTTTTCTTCACATTGACCCAAAATGTATCACCCCCGCCCCCAGCCCCTACTGTGTACCCAGCAGAAGCAGCCTGACATCATGGAAGTTACATGCAGTTTAGCATCAGTCAGACGTGTGTGCAAGTGACAGGTCTTTCTGTGTGTCTGGGAGGATTCTCAGCCTCACTGAGCCTGTTTCCTTACCTGTATTTATAATCCCACCTGTGGATGAAGTGAGGAAGCGGAAATAAAGTGAAGCGCCAGGGGGAATGCGTAGGTGGTGACTGATGTTCACATCTGAGCCCTTCTGTGGGCTGATGTCAGACTCACCCCTCCTAGGTCTACATCTCCTCTTCAGGACAAATGTCTAGTGCTTTGTAACCATTCTTTTTCTATACTCCAGTTTTTTCAGTGTTTTTCTTTTTTTTTTTCTAATGTAGCAAAACAGAGTCACTATTCTATGGATGTTTTTGAAGGAGAAGTCGGCAAAGTCCAAAACTGCTGCATGGAGCGAGCTTGCTTAGTCAAATAAGACCACTGATATATTTTTAGTATTTTCAAGTTAAAATGATCATAATTTGCATATTGATTGCATATGTATGTGTACATTAAGTGTGAAAGCACAGCAAATTGGCAACATTTGCTCTAAGAGCATTTACCTCTTTGTGAAGAATAGTCTTAATGACGTCCCACCTTTCCCCAAACTATTTGGCTATTAAAACTTAGTTGCCATTGGCCTTTTTGATAGTCACTGAATATAATTGACATGCATTCCATAGAGAAAGAAACAAGAACATGGCCTCTGCGAGTTTTAGAGGAAGAAAGAGGCTTGGATATTACCTAGTATGGCTCTCCCATTCTACTGAGAAGGACCCACGCGGCTGAGGGGTGGAGGGGCCTGCCCACGGCCCACCAGTGCTCAGCCGCAGCCAGGGCCTGTGACTCAGATTTTCCGCTCCTTGGTCCAATGTTCTTTGTCACCAGGATTTATTTGCTAAGCTCTTTCTGCTGTAGGCTTTCTAAATTTAAGCCTGCTTTTTTCCATGACAGATACAATCCTTGTCTACCTACAGTGTGCCTACATATACAGTTAGATTATTGCCAAATTTTGAATGCTACAAATACTTGAAAAGTCTACGTCCACTAAACTCTGAGTATAGGGAAGTCCTTTTGCAGGCTTTAGGCATTTCTCTCAATTTATTTCTCAACAAAGTGCTAAGCACACAGTTTGAAGTCAGGTTGCTGTGTTTCTCTAAGACCGTGCTTACCTTCCTGGCAGCCACACTGCTCACGTTTGTGGGCGTTCTGTGGCTGACATCCTGGTTGTCAGAGCCCGGCGTCACTCCACTGCCTCTGCTGGTGGGCGCACCCAGTGGTGAGGATCAGATTCCTATTTCTGCTGTGGTGATGTGTTAAAAATACAACTGATGAGGGCATGTCTTCTCCCTTTTAATAGTCTTCTAAATAGGAAGGGAAAAACAAAAGCCAAAGCTAAAAATACCTTTCACTTTGTTTTTCTCCCCTGAGGTTCTACTTTTAAAAAGCTATTTTGATAGAGGGTCAACGGGTTCCTTTTATTCCTAAAAAAACCCCCCACCAAACCAAAACAACAACAGCAAAGAATGAACAAAAAAACCCCACCTAAGCTAGAAATAGATGGCAGCCGGGCAGGAAAGCTGGGGTGGGGAAGAACATGAGTGTAGAAGGAAGGGATGTTCTGGGAACTGAAAACACAGAAACCGTGTGGAATGGTCTTTTCCCCCAGATGTGCAAAGGGAGAGTTTAGCACAGTTGCCCAAAGGTGAAACAGGGGTGGGCTGTCCTTTGCTCTGTAAGGACAGGGGTCTCTGCCTTGATAGCTGGGTCAAGAGAAGCAAGATAACACATCACTTTTCTGGGTGCTCTTTTCTCCCTGGTGGAAGACCTGTCCAATGGGCTTGGCCCCTGCAAGCAGAATAATTTTCTTGCTTAGGTATTTTCTTACTCAAGGTAGTTATGTGTAGAGTCCCCAGAGGTTTGGGAGACCAGGCATGTGCCAGCATGCTGGAGTGGGACTGACGTTTGCGTCTACTGGAAAGCTTCAGGCTGGCAGGTTAGAGGCTGGGTCACTTCCAGGCATAACATGGTGTCATTTGAGGCCAGAGCATGGGCCAAGCAGAGGCAGAAGATGAAGAAAGGGTGGGAGAGGGAAAGTGGGGAGGGGAGGGCAGAATAGGGGACGGGCACCCTGTTAGATAGACTTCCAGCACGTCATTCTTCAATGTTTCTTCTCAAACGCCGCCTTCCCCATGCCCAGGTGAATGGAGCGAGGCTCTTTACCCCCTGCTGACCACGCTCACAGACTGTGTGGCCATGATGAGCGACAAGGCCAAGAAGGCGATGGTGTTCCTGCTTATGCAGGACAGCGCGCCCACCATAGCCACCTACCTGAGCCTGCAGCACCGCCGGGACGTGGTCTTCTGCCAAACCGTAAGCCCCAGGCGCCCCCACCTGGGAGAAGCAGGCTGCGCACGGGGAAGCCACAGAGGGCAGTGTGTCTCCTGCCTGTTGCTTTTACATGTCTTTAACATCAAGGCATAGATTTCAACGTGGGGGAGGGACATACCGACTGGTCCGCACTCGGGAGGGTCTGGTTCCACCCTAGCTTCTCCCTGAGTTACTGGCGCCAAGGGAACTCGCACACCTGCTCCTCAGGCACTGAGGATTTGGTGGCATTGCCGGTGGCTTGGGCCTCTTCGCCACCTTCTTCTTCCCTACAGAGCCATTTAGTGAGGGGGACACAGATGTTCACTGTCAGTACAATCAATTTTGTTGTTTATAAAGCAGCACGTCATTGGTGCTGCAGCTCGTACTCAGCTGTTTTGGGGATTGCTGTTACCCTGCAGAGAGGGAAGAGCTTACGTGAGTGGCACAAGTTTCATAGTTGCCAGCCATCAAATTGGCAAAGGGAACAGTTATGGAGGGCTGGGCTGGCTCTCTGCGTGTCCTCACCCACCCCCACGAGGTCTGCCTCATCCCGCAGAAAATCTGCCACTGAGGAGACTTGCAGAGTGATCATGTCCTCTCTCACTCCTGTACCTTGTTGTGGTCACCTCAGGTTCCAGCCAGAGCTGGTACACATCTGTGCATATCTATACACTTTTACTGTGGGGAATTCTGGGCTTCCAGAAGGTTCTAGGCCTGGAGTAACCCCAGGGAGAGGGGCTGCTGCTGAAGCCCAATTAGGGCAGAGGAAGCAGAGGCGCTCAGGCCCAGGGCCACTGCTGTTGGGTGAGGACGTGTCTGTCTCCCACAGCTGACCGCTCTCATCTGTGGCTTCATCATCAAGCTGAGGACCTGCCTGCATGATGACGGCTTCCTGCGGCAGCTCTACACCATCGGGCTGCTTGCCCAGTTTGAGAGCCTGCTGAGCACCTACGGTGAGACCCCCGGGGCTCCCGGGAGTGCGGACACGTGGGATCCCCCACTTTCTTTCTCAGTATTTTTCTGATTACACAAGTAACACATGCTGATTCAAATAAATCCAACATCACCAAAATATGTAACAAAGACCCAAACAAGAGCCCTGTACAGGCACACCATGCCCCTTTGTTTTGTGTGTCTGGAAGTTCTTCCTAGCTGAGGATGGATGGTGATTATTTAAGCAACAACTTCCTATGGGATGTTGGGGCCGCTTCTGAATTGCTCCTGTGAAAACAGTGCTGCCGTGCATCTCTGCATGTCAGTCTGTGCACTGTGGGCCCACTTCTGCGGCCCCTGAATTATGAAGAGGACGGTGGCTGCATCAAGGGGTAGGAATATTTTTAAATGTCATAGATATTTCCAAATTGCCCTCTCAACATGCTTTCTTCCCCCTGCCTTCATTTTTTATTTATTTCTCTTCAGAAGATACAAATGGATAACTTTAAAAACTATTTGTTAATATTTGGAGTTATAAGACATCCAGTGAACACCAAGCCACGTGCAGTGTGAAGACGTGGCCACAGCATGCCGTTTTACACCGTCTCTGTCCCCTTCTGAGGAGTCGGTTCTGCCTTCTGAGGCTCTGTGCCATCTGTCTCCCTGCCCACACCTTTGTCACCAGGAAGGTGCTGGGTAGTACGGCGCGTGTTCCCACACCTTCCATCACCAGGAAGGGGCTGGGCAGTATGCCATGTGTTCCCACCGACTGCGTTTCTACGTGGCCATGGGTTTCACAGCAGCATTGACTAGTGGAGAAGCGAGCCACCTGGTGGAGAGGCCTGTGCCCACACTCTCATCCCCTGATCACAGCCACACCTGATCGTGTCGCCCTCGATCTGCGTCCCACCCTGTGACTGTGCTGAGTCCATTGGGAGGGGGCGGGTCCCCCGCCTGACAGGCCCCTTCCTCTTGTATCCAGGTGAGGAGCTGGCCATGCTGGAGGACATGAGCCTTGGGATCATGGACTTGAGGAATGTGACCTTCAAAGTCACTCAGGCCACTTCCAGTGCATCAGCTGACATGCTGCCTGTCATCACAGGAAATCGGTACAAGTGTTTTTTAAACTCAAAACTAGCACAGTGTCTTAATTTATGTTTATTGCCTGCAGTACACTCCTTTTTTTTAAAAAGAAATTTTGTTGGGGAACAGTGTGTTTTTCCAGGACCCATCAGCTCCAAGTCAAGCAGTTGTCTTCAATCTAGTTGTGGAGGGCGCAGCTCCTTGGCCCATGTGGGGATCGAACTGGCAACCTTGGTTCTGTGAGCCTGCGCTCTAACCACCTGAGCTAACTGGCCGCACTGCAGTGCACTGTTAATTTTGGTTTTCTTCTGTTTCATTCAGTTAAAAGTGCTGACTAGCACCCTCTACATTCATGTCACGGCCCGTTAAAGGCTCTCGCCCAGCAGTGTGGAAATGACTGTGCCACACGGCCAGTCCACATGCTGTGTTGGGGACAGCTTGCTTTTCCTCTTCTCACACGCCCCCTCTCCTGTCCTGTCACTCTTTTCCAGGGATGGGTTTAATGTGCGCATCCCTCTGCCCGGCTCGCTGTTCGACGCGCTGCCCCGGGAGATCCAGAGCGGGATGCTACTGCGTGTGCAGCCTGTCCTCTTCAACGTGGGCATCAACGAGCAGCAGACGCTGGCTGAGAGGTGCGTACCTGGCCCTCTTGGGGGCCGCAGTGGCTGGATTGGTCACGGAGATGGTGTAAAGGTGTACGCAGCCCTCGTCAGGCTCTGCGTGCTGGATGGACTTTGCCTCCTTCCCTTCCTTTGGCAAACAGTCTTTAAGTGCAGCCACCTACCCTACCCTGCCTTTGGTGCCAGGGACACAAAGATGAACAGTGTCCTCAAGAGACTTGGGCTGGTAGGATGAAAATAAATGCAGGGAGTAGGGGCCTTCACGAGCTCTCACAGGATCTGTGAGGGCTTCCTGGAGGGGTGATAGCTAAGTGGGTTTTGAAGAGTAAGTAGGCGTTGGTCAGATGAGGAGGTGGAGGAGAGACCTGGTGTCTCAGGTCAAGAAACCTGAGCAAAGACAGGTGGAGAGAAACTGTGGGGCCAGAGGCCCAGGTCCCAGTCAGGGATGGGCAGAGGTGAGGTTAGAGAGGCCTGCATGCCAGGTCAAGAGCCATGCCTTGATCCTAAAGGCTTGTGCCCTGGAAACTCCCTCTAGGGCCACCTGTCAGGCAGCAGGAAGGAGCTACTTGTGCAGGTGTATGTGCACACGTGTGTGTGTGTGTGTGTGGGGGTTGAGTGTGTGTAACCCGTCATGACCTTCCACTAGTACATGAAAATCTCTTCATTTTATCATGATATTCATGCTATATGTTTGCTTTAGAATAAACAGACCTCTTAAAGCACTTGCTGTAAAGGACGTTTGGTCTCCAGGATGATAAGTCACATTCCTGCTGGGCCATTAAACCCAGTGGTTAATATCCATTGACCCTAGGTATAGGGTCAGCCTGCTCAGAAATGTAGCAGGGCAGGACATGGTCAGGCTTAGCTTTTATGTAGATCGCTTGCTGGCCATGTCCTGGAATAGTGTGAGGGGCAAGTGTGATGGGCAGGTTGTTGGAGAGTCCGGGCCACAGGCAGGCAGGGTCGTGTGGATGGAGAGCAATGTCAGCGGTCAGATGGGAGGCCGGGTCTTCAGCTGGGCAGGTGAGAGAGAGAGAAAGAGAGACAGAGACAGAGACAGTGAGGAGAGTGATGGCCCAGCTGCCAGCACCCCAGGGCAATCCCCGAGGCAGCAGGTGCCCAGAGGACAAGCCATATGGTCCCCAGAGGTGGACCCACAGGAGAGAGTCTGGTCCTCTAAGTGATGATGGGGGACCATGAAGAGGCTGCCATGCAAGGCGGTCACTCAGCAGGGAAGGGATGGAGCTGGGCTGGGCATCTAGGCCTTGGACTTCAGAGCCTGCATGTTTTCTTGACCGCTTTGTGCCTTCCTCTCTCTGTCACATCTGTCAGGCCCTGGCTGTCTGCATGGTGCACAGGTGACCTGTGTAGTGACAAGAGCTGGCACCTCCAGCAGTCCAGGAGGAACAGCTTGTCCGCTGTGGTCATTCAGACCAAGTGCAGGACTGCCCTCACTCCCCAGCCATAGCCCCCCTGCTGTCCCCTCTCCTGAGCTCCTCTGGGACAGGAGGACATGGGGACCCCCAGATGAGCACTGTGAGGGGTTTCTGGGCTGTGCTACACAAGGGGCTGGTATGGACCGAGTTCTGACACCCTTTTGGGCACATCTGTAACAAACTGTGCATGGCTGCTGCTAATGAAGTGTGTTTAAAGTTGTCATCAACACAGTAGGGGTGACCTTAGGCTCGGGAGGAGGGAAGTGGCTCAGAATGTGATGTGCGCAGTAAATGTTAGAGTCAGCGTTGTTGGCTTTGAATGCACTGCGGACGTGCTAGATGAAAGAGACCTTAGCCAAATGATGACATCTCCTGTGACCTCTGCAGGTTTGGTGACACGTCTTTACAAGAAGTTATCAATGTGGAAAGTTTGGTGCGCTTAAATTCCTACTTCGAGCAGTTTAAGGAAGTTTTGCCTGAGGACTGTAAGTATTTTTTCACTGGGGTAGGTTCTACCTGTTGTCTAGGGTCACTTTGGGTGTTTGAGCCTCTCCTGCCACTCAGGCTGCAGTCCTCGAGGGTCTCCTTTCCATCTGGTTCTCCTCTCACCCAAGTCACGTGGGGCTCCGTTACATACTGTCTTAGTCACTGGTGGGCATTGTGGTCAGAAAGGGGAAGACCTGTGCTCAACATTTTTTGGGGTGGCAGTTTCCAGTGATGCGAGGCCCCAGGAGACATTAACATAGACTGGTGATGGGCCAAGGAGGGACACAGCTACAGGGGCAAAAGCAGCGCAGGGAGCCTCTCCAGGGCGGGGCCAGCACCATGTATTTGGTTTTAGTCTGGGGGTTCAGGCACCATGGCTGTTTCCTCAGATGTGACCTCGACACTCCTCTTATTCCCTAATGATCCTGGTGTCTGAACATCCCAGATTTTTTAGGTGAGGCGATCTGACCAGTCTTCTAGTTTGAAGGGTCCTAGAAGGGCTTGGAGATGTCATGGTGGTGGAGGGAGCTTTTGCAGAGGGTGGGAAGATACCTGCCTGGGTCACGCCAGGTCCACCTGCAGGACGCTGCCCTTCCGATGTCCCGCAGGGACGGCCAAGCCCCCTCAGTGGACAACACCCACTGCCCTAAGTGTCCACCATCTATGACGGAGGCTGTGAAGACTAGATGGCTGGCCTCCCTCCCTTTCTCCCTTGATGGTGCGGTGTCCGCCCTCCAGCCCCTTGGCAGAGCTGAAAGGGGAGGAAGCGAGTGCCCTTAGCAGGTGGGACTGGAATGGCAGTGAAAGTAATTATGTGCTCACTCATGGGCAGCCAGGTCCAGGCCCTAAACACACCTTCCTTCCTTGCTGCCATGACACTAAACTTCCAGCTTTGCCTGGAAACTCCTCATTTTGCTGTTTCCGTGCTGTGAGGGCTTACTGGGCTGAGTCGCTGCGCATGGCACTAGCCCGACTCCTGTCCTCCAGGCTTACCGCGGTCCCGGAGCCAGACGTGCCTGCCCGAGCTGCTGCGGTTCCTGGCCCAGAATGTCCATGCCAGGAAGAACAAGAACGTGGACATCCTCTGGCAAGCTGCCGAGGTACGCGGCACAGAGGGGAGAGGGCTGCTGCTGGCCACTGGCTACCAGCGACCGTAACTGCAGCATCCAGACCCCAGCCAGGGGCCCAGGGAGCATAGTCCTCCAGCAGGAATGAGGCAGAGCCACTGCGTGTATCCCAAAACTTGGGCAGATACTGAAAGTTACCTGTGAGTTCATTACTTTTGGGCTGCCTGAATTCTGATAAGCTTGATCCAGAATCCGTCCCCTCAGCCATTTAATAAACAGGCCACTGATAGTTGTCACCTTCAGAAGCCTGCGCAGGCGATGGCAGCTAAAAGTTACTGCCTCCTGCATCTTCTAATAGGCCAAAAGGGAGACCGTGGTGACCTTTGCAGCCTCTTCATACGATGTTTATTGTACATTGCAGTTCAGTCCCTTTTCCCTGAGTATGCACCCCTCAAATACCCTCTCACAGGTTTGCCTGTGGAGTTCCAAGTCCCTGCTCTGAGCCTGGTTTGAGAGCAGTTTCCCAGCACATCATTCACTCCTCTGACGGGGGTGGGTTTAACTCGTCTTCATGGCATCACTGGGACCTGTTTGGTGTTGGGACCACACACAGAGACTTAGGGGCCCCAGATGACATCCCAGCTCCCCTCCTGGCCTGAGCGCAGGGGTAGGATGGGCATGCAGCCCTCTGCCCTGGGGAAGGAGTTGGCCCTGCCCTGCCCACTGACACCTGGGCCACCGCCCTGGTTATGGAGCCCGAGGAGAGGTTGGGGGCTGTCCCCCCACAGCTTTATAGGCAAGAGTGGATGCAGAGACCTGTGCATACCTTGTTTGGAAACTCTGATTCTATTTTTCTCTTCCTACACGATAGAAAAATCATCACCCAGAGTGATGAGGGACCATCCCCCGTCACCAGGTGAAAACAGCAGTCCATGCAGCAGCGTAGTTTTGTTCCCGCTGGAGTCCCCAGTGTATAGAAGCATAGCTTCAGGGATGGAAGGGTCTCCAAGACCCTTGGACGCGTCATTTCTTGTATTGTCTGCCTCGGATCTGCTGGGGGCACCGGTGGGTGTGAGGGCAGCCGTGCCAAGCCACTCAGGTGCCAGGCCCTCCCATCTCCACTTGACTGGGGCTGCCTCCTTTTCCAGATCTTACTTTTTTTTTACATTTCTGTGCTTGAGCAGGGGGTCCCTAGCTAAACAGAATATCATTAGTCAGGTCCAACCCATCACTTCTTGGATGGGGAGACCAGCAGAGCCCCCAGGCTGGGCCCTCTGGAGCCTCTGTCCCATGCATTCAGAGGGCGTCTTCACTCTGCATGGTCCCCCTCTAAGTGCAGCCTGTTTTTCTGTTGGCAGATCTGCCGCCGTCTCAACGGGGTCCGGTTCACCAGCTGCAAGAGTGCCAAGGACCGCACGGCCATGTCAGTGACGCTGGAGCAGTGCCTGATCCTGCAGCACGAGCACGGCATGGCCCCACAGGTCTTCACCCAGGCCCTGGAGTGCATGCGCAGGTGAGCCCGCTGCCCGCTGCCCGCCCGCCCGCCCGCCCACTGCAGCCCAGCTGGTCCCGCTGCCGCCTCCCAGGCCCCTTGGTACAAGCACCCTTCCCCCAGCGTCACGCCCTGGTTTGACTTTGGAAAATGCACTAGTGTCTTCAAAGTCAAACCGTCAGTGCTGTCCAATTGAGACAGTGTCCTCGTTCAAGGCCAGGGGAGAGTAAGGAGCTCGCAGCCTCTCGAGCAGGACTGCACTGAAACAGGTAGATGGGGCAAGCTCAGGTGTCAGGAAGTGACATGGGGTGGCCCCTGTGCAAGCCGCTTGGCACATGGCCTGCCCCCCCCCCCCAGCCACTGGCCTTGCTGTGGTGTGAGTTAGGGTCAGCGCTGTCTCAGCAGGCATCTGCTATTTACATCATACGTATGTCTCCTTTCAAACTTGAGTGACAAGTGCGTCTGCAGGTTGCACGGGTCTGCTCCGCTTCTTCCCCAGCAGCCGACACCATTTGCTTTTATGAGCAAAGTGTCAGATGAGTGTTCTGTGGTGACGGCAGCCTCCTGCCTGCCTGGCCGTGGGCCGTGGTGACCTCACCCTAACCATGTTCTGATTCTGAGGCAGCAGGTGTGTTTGCAGAATGAAGCCCCGGACTAAAACTGCCTACTGTTGACCGATGCCTTATTTCAAGCACTGCCGGGGAGCGTCTTACCCCACATACCAAAAGAAAGGATAAGAAACCTGGTTTTCCGTCTCCTTCACTGTAGTCACCAATGCTGTCACAGTCTCGTTTCCAACAGTCACTCCCCCTGAATGTTCTGTGTCATTTGTCCTCTCACCAAATTCTTTAAAGCCTTCAATTCTCTTATCCTTTCTGTATGTTTCTGCTGTTTGACCTTCTCACAATAATGCACAAAAGCCATGCCTGAGCTCCTGCCTCTTGATAACAGCATTCTGTAAAAATGGAATTGTTTTGTCCGTTTTGTCTTTCTAAGTTCATCTAAACCTCTCTGTCACCTCAGGGCCATCTATTTATGCACTTTGGACAAGTTTACCACCCTCCCTGCCCTCAGCCTCAGGGAAGCAGTGGAGACTCAGAGACCCCTGTCTGGGGCACCCTTGACTAACAGCCTGTCCCTCAAGGATTCTGTCCCCTTAAGGCTCAGTGTCCCTGGTGTCATTGGGGGTGGCAGGGCCTGGGCTTCCAGCCACATCTGTGCCCTGTAACCTGTGCGGTGGTGGGAGGGACCGCTCTGGTGACATGCAGACCTTAGCCAGCAAGGAAACAAAAAAAGTGGAGAGGGGATGCCTGTTGTTGTTGGAACAGATATTAGGATCAGGTCCATTCAGGAGAGCAAATTAAGCCTGAAACATCGCTGGAGGCAAACATGACAAACTTGAAGCTGTCCTACTTCAGTCACATCATGAGAACACAGGGTTCTCTGGAAAAGACAAGAATGCTGGGAAAAATAGAAGGCAGCAGGAAAAGAGGAAGACCAGATATGAGATGGTTGGACTCCATAAGAGAAGCCAAAGGCTGAGTCTCCAGGAGCTGAACAGGGCTTTTGGGGACAGGACACTGTGGACATCACTCATTCACAGGGTCGCCAGGAGTCGCAGCTGACTCAATGGCACGTAACACACACACCATTCAGCAGACCAGGCCCTGAGCCAGGTGTACAATTGACCATAGACCTCTGTCCACTCTTGGCTTCTGGAACAAATTCGATGAAAATGGTAATTCATTTTGACTGCATGTGAGCACACAGGTCTCAGGAGACCAGGGAGAAAGTGGCTCCTTAGAGTGACAGGGACAGCCCCACCTGCTGGCCTGGAGCCCACCATGGGGTTGTGGGGGCAGTGCCCACACGCACACAGGTTAGCATTATAGTTTACAACACACAAAGCACATTTTACTTTTTATCACGTAAGTAAGTGATGTTCCTTGTAGGAAAATTAGAAAATACAGGTTGTTCTCACACACACATACACGAGCATGAGTGTGGTTAATCCACACATTGGTTAACCAGTCCCTGAAGAACATAGAAAACAAATGTAATTAGACATGCAATTTTGCCTATTGTTTCAGCCTTCTGTCACTTAACTGTCTGGTGAGCACTTTTTCAGGTTAATAAACATAGACCTTCCCATTGCAAGCACAGCATAATTTATCCACTGGTGCTCATTGACTGTTTGAGCTGTGTGTGGGTTTTGAGTACTTTAGGTCGCAGTGAACATCCTGTGTGTTCTCCCAGGCACATCTGCCCCATTGATTCCCTTGGCCAAAAAGGGTACACCTATGTAAGGCCTTTAATCCAAAGTGACAGTCAGCTCCTATAGCTGTCACTCCCCACCCCCCCTGCGCCCGGGTCTCCCATCTAGTGCCTGCTCTCTGCCCTCTGGGTGTTACTGTTCCTGTCACTGTTCTGAGCGCTCCCGAGTATGTTTTCCTCCATTACGGGTGAGGACCCCAGGTCTAGCAGGGAAAGACCTTCCTCCCATGGGATCAGGCACCATCCATCCGCTGGGCCTCCCCTGCCTCTCTGAAACCCTTACCCATCTCCAATGATGTTTTTCTTTTTAGTTTATTTGTTTTTCTGAATTTTCTGAAATCTCTCTAATGAACATGTGCCACCTTACTAATCGTTTAAGAAGTTACTAAAAACAGAAGCACAGCCCCATCCCATTCTGCCTCTGCCCGCCCCCGAGTCCTCCTAGCGTCCACCCAGGGCGCCGTGCTCGCTGCTGCCTTGCCCACCTGACCTTGCGGCTCTCGCCACCTGCGTTTGCTGTAAGGTGACGCTGTTCCACCTGACTAACATGTTTTCTAATTGTCCCATGTGGGGAAGACGTGTGTATTCATAGAATGCAGGCCCAAGTGGGCTGGGTCACGAGCCAGTATTTCTGGCTGCGGGGTCGCCAGGACGTGTGGTTCGGCTGAGAGCCCTGAGGAGGCAGCAGTAAATGGTGGCCATGCCCTCGAGTGGAGGAGTGCATTTTGGTTTTCTTGCTTTCTCGCTTGCATCTGACTGGATGGGAGAGTCGAGCATGCAGGCCAGGGTGCCGGGGCCAGGTGGGTGGGGTCAGGCCAAGCTGGTGCTCAGGCTGGCCTCCTGGAGGCCCAGGGTGAGCAGTGGCAGTGCTGTGCTAGCCAATGGTGAACAACCAGCTCTCTCCAATTAAACAAAAAAAAGCCCTTATCTGTAGTGCTTGCCAATTTCTGTGGCATAAATACTCTCACTGGGGCTTATTTCAAGCTACCAGTGTGACACCATGGGACACCGTGGGAGTTGGGAAAAGATATGTACACTCGGTCCTTGTGAGCCATCTGAGCTGATTCCAGCTCACTGCTGGTGGTTCCCTCTGTCCCCAATCCAGGTGCTGAAACACTTACAGAGTGGGCCTTCCTAAGTAGCCACAGTGACCACTCCTAGACTGCCCTGGCTGGGAATGTGACCATCAGTGCTCACAGCATGGAAAGTGTCCCCTGTCAGAATGGCATATCTCAGCAGGGCCAGTCCAGGGCTTCCAGCTTCCTCTGGGACAGCCTGGGAGGACCTCAGCCTGTCCCCACCGCCAGTGGGTCCTCATGGGCCATGCACCTTGTCCCAGTACTTCTGATTCTGTGTCACTGTTGCCACTTGGGTGGCCAGGCATAGAGGATGTGGTTCCAGAGTCCTGTGGTTCTAGCTGCCATCTCACCTCAGGACATTTCTTCTGGACCAAAATGAGGGGAACCCAAAATTTCCATTGTGAGCTTGGTTGCATGCTATTCTTGGGGACAGTAACATCAAAAGTGGAGCCACCAGTAGCTCACGCCCTGCCACTGCTTAGCCTGAAAGCCAAGGCGAGTCTGGTGAGGGCTCTGCCTCCGGTGGACACTTGAGGTAAATGGTTATTGTTTGAAAGGTTAATCAAGAGGCAGCTTTGGCAAGACTGCTGCAGCACGCCACTCAGACACATGTGAGAAGGTCAAACTCCCCCCTCCCCATGGTTCTTCATGTTCAGCTTGCTGTCTGAGGGCCTCATCTCTGCAGCATGTGAGAGCATGGCGGGCAGCATGGCGGTGCGTGTGGCGGCCGAGAGCGTGAACATGGAAAACCATTAGTCAGCCTACATGTGTGTGTTTTCAGTAGACTACAGTATTTTTTTCTTATTTTCACTTCTCTTTCTCTCCTTTTTTCTTGTAACCGTGTTTTGGCATTCCTTTTATATCATTTTCTGCATCTCATCTTTTCTTTCTGTTGTGGCTTCATTCCATTTTTTTTTTTTTATTTTGCCTCTTGGTTCTCTTTTTTTCCATATTTTTTATAAAATCCATTGCACGTGTCTCTCTTTTTTCTTTATTCCCTTTCTCTTTTCCTTTCTCCCAAACGTTTTCCTTTTCACAGCATTGGAACACGGGAGGTAGTCACCCAGAAGAACTTGAGCGGCCTGGTACCCATCCGAGACTTAAGGCTAGACCCCAGCCTCCTCTGTTCCATCCCTTTATTAGCGCTGAGCCCCAATTTACTGATTGTGTGGCTCTTTCTGAGCATAGCATACCTGGTGACCAAATTGCGTTGCAAATGAATATCATTACGAAAAATTAAATAAGTCACAAGGAAAACAAAAGTGCCAGAATATGTCCAGCCACCGCGCACCTGACTGGACAGAAGGAATGTGTCAAAGCAAGGTCTGCCGAGAAATATTTCATGCCTTACAGTTTGATGTTTTGTTGTTCTGAACTGTAAATACCTGCCCAGTTATTTCACCAAGAAGACTTGTTTAAATCCTACAGTTTTCAGTGCTTGTAACATGTTCCTACAGCACCCTGTGACTGCATTGTTTAGCTGGCCTATACCAAACCTTTTACCTTCTGATGTAAAGCTGTTGATTACCTGTCTCTCTCATGTGCCCCGTTTCCCAGAGAAAGAGATTCTGTCTGAAGAGAATGTGTATATTTGATACTATTCTTTAAATGTTCTGCACACCCTTCCTTTCTTTTTGAAGAGCAATGAAAATGATAGGCGCTTTATAAGTGGGTCCTCTACATAAGCCTATTTAATAGGATATGTACTTTCTGCTTTCATTTCAAAGCGTAGTTCCTTAACTTACGGTAGCAAACAGTTTGCAGCATCATAACATTTCCTTGCATATGTTTATCATTTCCAGGTTGAGATGACACAAAGCTGTGAATACAATAGCACATTATACCAAGTCAGGCACATAAAAATAACACATTGCATGTGACTTTCAATTTACTCTTTTACATCTTTAAGGATTATTAAACTGATTACAGGGATTAATGCATTTAGTAACAAAGGCTGTTCAAGTTATATACACTTATTTTTCTTGAAATATCATTTTTAATTTTGAAAACTACATCTTTAAATTCAGATTAACGTCCAGACATCTTTTCTCTCTTACAAATCATATGTTGTTGATAATGGAAAAAAAAAAAGTCAAAGAAAAATGACCAAAAAAAAAAAATGAGGCCTACCTTTTGGGCATTTGTGCCAGGGGGAGCTGTGAGAGAAGAGTTACTTTGGTTTCTGCTATTACCACTGTTAATTTTAACAAGGCACTGTCTATAAAATGGGACGACTTATTACCTTGACATTCACATTTGGTGGAAGGGTAGTTTTATACTTGTAAAGGTAACAATAAATTAGGGGGAAATTCCACAGACCCTGTATCAGAAATATTCAGTGCTTTTCTGTCTTCCAGTTCAAATTTGTTGTGACCTGTTTTTGACCTCCGTCTGGTTCCCCATACACTGTATTTTATGAAAGTGGATTTTTTTTCTTAACCAGTTTAGAAAAATTTGAGTGAATGTAGTGACGCTGCCTTTTTCAGGAACTTTGCACCCATGCATGCACACAGACCCAGCCCACCTCTCTGTTCCCTCCCCATAACGTCCAGAACTTACTCTGGGATTTGTCTGTTTAGTATGAGATCTGAGACCAGGTTCTAGGAATCACAGAAGCAGTTAGCAGTGAGGGACAAATGCCAGACTCAGGCTATAAATTCTAAAATGGGAGATGGTCCTTCTCTCGTGCTTGGAGCACTGCAGGGGCCTTGGGGCAGGTGTCACACCTGTGGCTGGGTCCGGCCTTCTCACAAGTGCAATGTGGTCACTGTCTTTTCTAGAATAAATGAGGTGGCTGTTCTGTGACACAGCAGCTGACATCCTTCAGCAGGGAGTCTCTCCAAGCCCCAGTGACAGGTGGTGGAGGGTTGTAGAAGGTGACACTGGGTATTAGACGAGGCCCTGCCCAGTCCCTGAGTCTTTGAGAAGTGTGTTTACCACTTGCCCTCCTTCAAATGAAGGTGCAAACGTCAACTCTCTATGACCCTTTTGTTTCCTTTATGTAAAGGACAGAAAGACCACAGACAAGCTCTGTCCCCACCCATAGCTTCCCAGTCACTGCAACGGGTAAAGTGCTGCTGAGGCCCCACAGTGGTGACACGTGCCTGTGCCCACCTCCAGGTTGGCAGAGGCCATGCACAGATGAAGGGGCCCTTCTGACTACAGACAGCTTGCCCTCTTCTTCCCGGGGCCTGCGGGTACATCTGTGACGCTGTTCAGACTCCCTCAGGATCCACTGCCTAGCAAAGGGAGGCCGTGCCCGCTGGAGGAGCCCCTCCAGGGGAACCTCATGGGCAACAGAGGCTGCCCCCTCCTTTCCCCACGCCCCCCCCCGCCCCAGCTGTTGTGCTGCCCACCAGGCCTTCCTGCCTTATGTAGGTTTGGCTGCTAGGTTGAAGGGAAATGGATGGAAGGGACGGAGGGGAGCGTCTTTGTTTTTCTCTTCAGGGGCCAGGTCAAAAGGCAGCTCCTTGAACTCTACAGTCGTGAGGAAGGACTCCATCAGCCTAGGCTGTGGGTTGGTGGTGGTTTTTTGTAGAATATCTGAGTAAAGAGACTCAGTGTGCATGCCCTTTGTGCTAAGTTTTAATGTCACTAAGGCCCTTTACCCATTAAATCAGGCTAAATATGTATCCAGAATCTCTTCTGCTTTAGTGAGAAATAGGCAGGATGAAACAGAGGGGACGATGACTCAGGAAAGGGGAGTCGCTGAGATTTGGCGATGGTTGTCAGGCTGCTTCCAGGGTGGTGCGAGCACTGAGACTTGGTCACTGGCAGCCGCTCAGGATGTTCAGGCTCACTAAGCACCAATGAGTCTGGATGGGTTCTAAAGTGGGCGACCCCCACACGAAAGGGAAAACCAGAGGCATCCTTAAAATGAGTTGTCGTTTGGGTTTTAGTTCTAATTTTTCATTTAAAACATGGATGTCCTGGAAAAGAAATGATTTATGGTATAATGTATTCAGCCAGTTAAAGCAGCAATTAGCTCTTTAACATGTAAATAAAAGATAATGTCTACGTTCACACATTATTCTTTGCTCCTCAAAGCAGTTTGGCATTTGCTCGTGATTGGTGGTTTCTGTGTCAATAGAAAAGCCATATCTGACATAGTCCGATAATGTGAAAGTTTGCAAAGATTAAACAAGATGAACTGTGCATAGAATGAGAGCTTCTGCTTTAAGTGGAATTATATTTTCCTTTGATTACTGGATGTGAGATAAACACTAAGGGCTCCCTGCACGCAAGGCCTAGGCATTCAGCTCAGATGACACATGTCTTGCTGAGGGCCTGAGGCTCTGGTGACAAAGAAGCATAATTGAGTTACTAAATTACTTAATAATAAGCTGGTGGATACTTTTCTGAGACACCGAGCTTACCTTTTGAATAAAATTACTGTCTCACCAAAAATATTTTACATGTTCTTGAAAATGAGACTGTCGTTTTCACTTTAAAAGGCTCGAGCACTTGCCACTGATATATTTTTTTAAATGCATGATATAATGGTGTTCATATGATTGAAAATACTTTTTTTTAAATCACTGTTTCTTGGTAACTGAAAATTTTACATCTCAGAAGGGAGATTTTGTACTGTATTTGATAACTAGTTGATGTAATTGCAAGTCTCAGAATAATATAAAAATATAAAGTTAGACTATGCTATAGGAAGTCTTTATATACAGAATCGCTTTTGCCTGTTAATTTGCTGTCTACACAAGAACCCTTCCCAGAGTTCTCCCCTGATGCTCTCATTGGGGAATAGGAGGCCTGCCTCACCCCTCATCCTCCTGCTCCATGTTTGCTTTGTTCACTGGGGTGCAATGACAACCCCCCATCAAATGCAGCCTGGGATGATGCTGGCAGCAGCAGGCGCTCTAGGGAAGGGTACTGGTGGGCTCAGTGGCACTCTCCTGAGAGACGACCACAATGAGGGCAGCCCACCTGGACAGAGCATCTGGCTGCCACCAGGAGACCTCGGTGGGGTCACTCCTTCACGACACTCCAGCCCTGATAGCCGTGCAGACCCACGGTGCAGCCATCGCCTGGGCCCCTGGATTGCTTTGCACCTGCCCAGGAGACAGCATGTTAGAGCAGCCTTCTCAGCCAGATGGCTTTGCCACATGTTGAATTCTGCAAGGAAAATCAGCATTTTGAATTTGAGGTGATTGACAGCTGTTGCTAATATAGAAAAAAATGCAGCTCTCTTAAGGCATGGGTAAGAGTCACACTATTTATTTTTCCATTTAATTCGCCGTGTAACAGAAGCTTTGAACCACTAGTTATGTTAGACCCTCAGATAATTACACATGAAATACACGAAACCATTAACTTAAAAAAAGAAGTTTGCTTCCACTTAGATATGGTGCTGCTTTTGGAAATGCCGGACTTGCAGTCCCGTAGAGCATGCGCCCATCTCTGTGCTTCTTAACTGCCTTGTTCTGAAACCCACCATCCTACGTGTGTATTGTTGTAAATAGTTTGGCACCCATTTAAATTAATCAAGCTTTTTTTTTTAATGCTATGAAAATAATCAGTTCATTTCATCTTAGTTTAAGTCTTTTCTTTTTTCCTTTTTTACTGCTGTCACTTCTTGTGCTTGTTTTTTTCCCAGTGAGGGTTGTCGAAGAGAAAATACAATGAAGAATGTTGGAAGTCGCAAATATGCGTTTAATTCCCTGCAGCTGAAGGCTTTCCCCAAGCATTACAGGCCTCCCGAAGGGACTTACGGCAAGGTTGAAACTTGAACACACGGTGTCCTCTAATTAGCTGTCACATAACAAATGTGGGTACCCTCTAGTGTCGTATATGAATTCTTCAAGACGACCTGAAGGATTGGTTCTTATTTTTTTGTTTTTAAAAAATCTTTCACTAAAGAGCCTATGAAGCATGTCCCCCCATCCCCACCCCCCCAATCAGTAGGAGGTGATGTTTGGCTTAGTGTGGATAGTAACGACTGCCCATTTAAGCAGCCTGCGGCCAGAAGTGCACAGACACCTCCTGTAGTCAGTCACCTGTACGAATCAAGCTAGGTTTGTCTGAAATGCTACAAGACTTTTTAAAATTCCCACTTAGGCGCTGCTCACCTAACTTATTTTTCTACTGAGTAACTCAATTGAGCATTGAATTACTATCTACTTTTTAAAAATCTGAATGTAAAACAGTAAATAGTAAACAGACTGGTAAATGTTAAATGCTACCAAGTTTTGGGGAAAGAAGCTAGCTGGCTCATGCAGTGAGAGCAGGTGGTTCTAATGAATTTGCTGTCTGTAACAGTACAGGTGACACCAGAAGTTGAAGTAAAGGCTGAGGCATCAGCCTGAGATAAGACTATGAGAAGATAACACCTGCAAAGCCCCTCGCCCAATGGGGGCCACTTCTGTCCCTTATGAATTATAGAACAGGGTGTCTTCTTGAGAACGTGAAGCCAGCTGCCTCCTGTTCTCCTAAGCTCCCCGTCCAGTCCCCCGCGCCCCACGATGCATCTCCCCCTCTTCTCTGGATGTTGCGTTACAGTACCCAGGACCTCGCTTGTGGTATGGCCAGTGCCTGTCACCACAGTGGGGGTTTGTGCGTGTAGATGGTGGAAGCCTAAACTTTTTCAGAACAGACGTCTTTTTGTGGGTTTCCCAGTTTATTGTCTTCTAAAAGACGATACAATTATGTCTGAATGTCTGATAAAAGTGTCTTTTAAGTTTGTAATAATTGTTACTATCCTCTTCTCATTCTGTTATGTAAGGTGACTATTGAGAAAGCTGAAATTAGCTCCTAAAATGAGATTTTGAAAGGGATTAATTTAGGGATTTCATAGAAAATTATGTCTGGTCATCTATTATAAGATGATGAGTCTTATCTGCCCATAGCAGAGTTTTTTTTTCTTAGTTTATGTGTCTTATCAATTGTTTATGATGATGATGATGATGATGTTTACATGTTATTTAAAAGGCTGTACAAGAAATACATGTGGCACATACTCGAGATGCTGATCCAATGATTGGTGACCCTTGGCCTATGTCTAAGATTCTGGGTATTATTCTTTGGGCTCCTTTAGAAATGACTTGGAAACATGTAACAAATGTGGGCCTGGGGAGCTGAGGCACAGGCCAGACCACCCCATGGCAGAGACACAGAGGGGGTGAGCAATAGGGTGGAAGTGGGTGACCCTCCGGACCCCGTCCTCCTCGGAAGTCACTGCAAAGACAGAGTGCTGTGTCCTGATGCCTGATGGTCAAGTGTGAGCTGGTGTGGAGGATGTATCTGTGAGGGACAGTTGTAGCTCACTGTCCCTCCTTTCGCAGCTGGGGCCACTGTGGAGGTTGGCGGCAGAGAAACCTGTCCACCAAACCCGCTGCGGAGGTGGCAGTCACTGGTGTCAGGTTCTCCTGTTTTGCCAGTCCCTGTTCAAAGTAAGTTTCCAGTATGGCTGATTCAGCTTTTTACCACTCCACCGTTTCATTTAATTTGTAATTTTTTTGGTATACTTTATAGTTCTGTCTTTTCTCATTTTAACATTACTGCCTTTTAAAATATTCCCTTGCCTTTTTAAATTAAATGTCACCCGTATTTTCAGAACTTTTTTTTTTTTTTTGTCCGAGGAACATTAAATGTCTGCATTAATCCAAAGGGAATATATAACAAAGGTTGATTCAACTGTTAGCAGTTTTGCATGTAGCACCTTTATGTGGATTATGTTCCCGATTTTGGCTTCATATTATGGATCACCACACAACTCTAAGACTTGGTTAATCATGTAGAAAATATTCAGGTTTCAGTGTTCTGAGCCTTGCAACGGGCTCCCGTGTGACAGGTCTCACGCGGCTTCACCCACTCACCATGCTTGCCGAGTGAGGCGTTTTCATGGTGGCCAGCAGCTCCTCAGGTCACGTGGGAGCTTTGACTTCTCAGTTGTACAAGGAAGGAGGTTTTACAGCTTACCGTAAAACAGAGGTTCCATCCAGGGTTCCTTATAAGGCCCCCAATGAGACACTGAAAACCCGGGGTGTGCTGTGGGCTCTGGCAAGGCATTCAGCACAGTGGCCCTTGGCTTCCTTCAAAACGTATAAATACTGTATAATAGTTTTGTCCTACACAATTGTATCTGCCAAACTTAGTGCACTAAAGTACTTTTATTTATTTGTTTTGGGCAGTATTAATATATATATATATATATAAACATGCAGTTACTGTTTTATATATTCTTAGCTCATTGAAAGCCATGTATGCTGTAAATGTGCTCGTCTTTAGAATGACGAATAATAAATAACTGACAAGAACATTAAACTTGGTCTTGCCTGATTCATTCTTTTGCATTAGGAGGATGAGTTCTGTGGCTGCCATCTGACTGGACAATCATTAATGGGCCCTGTGTTGAGTGCTTGGGTGTTTGTAAACATGGGATCACGAGACTTGTTTTGATCTTGTTTTCACTTAATTTGAAGCAGAGGGGCCAGTGGGCTGTGGGATTAAGAGCACGAACATCCAATTCAGACAGAGCCAGGTCCCCATCCTGTTCTGCCACTCCCTGGCTGGTGACTCTGAGCAAGTTGCTTGCCTTCTCTGTTTCCTCGTGTGCAAAGTATGGACACAACGGTATGTTCTTCACAAGGCAGTGGGCAGGTGCCTTGGTATCAAGTGTTCGTGTCAGCTGTTGTTACAAATGTCCAAAAATATGGATCATGCCTTCTCTGTAGTTCTCCTGGTCACCTGCTGTATGACTTGCTAAAATGTAGTTCTATTAATGGTTGGTTTGTTATAACCAGGACTGCCACTTGCACTTGTTCCCAATGATTTTCCTTGGAGAAACTGTTGGCAGTAGAAATGTACAATGAAAGGACAACTTAAATTTAAAATTTTGGGGGCCGGCCGAGTGGCATGTTGGTTAAGTGGCTTGGGATGCCAGAGGGCCCTGGTTCAGATCCCACATATGAGGGCCGGTGACACTGCCCTCTACAGCTAAGATGCTGAACAACAGCTCAACCTGGAGCTGGGCTGCTGTGGGTCGCTGGCGACAGCGTAGGCTGCAGCCCCTGTGGCAGTGGGTTGCCATGGGCTACCGTGTGTAGCCGGCAGCCAGCTGCTATGAGCAGCCATCCAGAGGCCGGCGACTGATCTGCCTCACCCGGGAAGAGTGCAATGATGGTGCCAGCTTGGCCAACATCCTCCAGTGAAGCAACATCCTCCACAACTAGACTGAAGAACAAAACAACAGCGACTTGTCTGTTCCCCTTCCCCTGATTCCCCAGCGCTGTTCCCCTCTCCCAATTCCCTAATAAAAATCTTAAAAAAAATTTTTTTTTTAATTTTTCATATAGGCACACCTCGGAGGTATTGTGGGTTTGGTTCCAGGCCATTACAATAAAGTGAACAGAGCAATATTAGCGAGTCCCATGAATTTTTGGTTTCCCAATGCAAATAGAAGTTATGTTTACATTCTACTGTAATCCATTAAGTGTGCAATAGCATTATGTGTAAAAAAATGATGTGCATCCCTTAATTAGAAATTACTTTATTGTGAAAGAATGCTGTTATCTGAGCCTTCAGTTGAGTTATCATCTTTTTGCAGGTGGAGGGTCTTACATACCGTTTGTAAAAAGCGCAGTATCTGTGAAGCGCGATAAAACCAGGTCTGCCTGTGTTATCTGAGTACTCCTAGGAAGTTAGGCAACATCCACGCGATAACGGGCCATCTGGCCTGTGCCTCCCTGGGTAGGATGCCCGGTCCCTGTTCTGTGCCAAGATTTGGCACATGGATAATAACTTTCCTATGTGCATGGCAGCCATCACTACCTAAGGTGTGACAGATTCCTGATGGTAGGGTCAGAACAGTCACACTTCAAATTCCCCTCGGCCTCCCTTTGTGCCCCAGCACTGTCTGCCATGATGCCTTTGTGCACCAGGCTCCTGGTGGGCCTTTCTGGCCAGTCCAGGTAGGTCTGTATTCAAATACAGACCTTAATGGTGCTGTCACCCTGTTGTACCATTTAACAGACTGGGGGGTGCGGGTGGGGGCTGAGACAGGTTAGAGAATAGGAAGCTTGTTTCCATGGTGAGGAAGAAGTTACCTATATTAGAGAGGTGGGTGCGGGAGCACAGAGCATGTCATTGCTTCCTCCGCGCTTCTTCCACTCGCCCTCCCGTGGCTCCTGTGGCCAGGCTCTTCTGGTTGTCCTACCTCAGGCCATTCCTCCTCACTCTCACCTACCTGTCCTCTGCCACCCACACTGACATCATGGTATTCCCCAGGTTTCTGTCCACAACTGTCTTTTCGCTTTGGATGCTCTTCCTGAAGTCTTACCCATTCCTACAGAATTACCACTTACTGCCTAATGCCTCCCAAATTTCTAGGTCCACCTCAGACCTTCCAGGTCCAGATCCATCCACATATCCAACCATATCCCAGTCATTCTACTCGGCGTGTCAAACACAGCACGTCAACACCAAATCCTGCATCCCCTCTCCTCCAAGCTTGCTGAGTCTTCCTGATAAGTGACCCCACCTCTCACCCTGGGCTCATCCTCTCCCTTCCCCAGCACATCTCATCAGCCATGAAAATATGTCTCTTCTACCTATCCCATAATGCGGTCCACACACTCCCAGCCCTGGTCCGTGTCCCATCTGCTCTGGACTGCCTGCCACCCCTCCTCAGCCTTCTCATTCCCCCTTCAAGGTCTTAGGCACACCCTCCTCAATGGTGATTCCTCTCCACAAAATGAGTTGGCCCTTCTAGAATAATCTTTTCCCTCATTTTTGAATGTATGACTGTTATACCATGTACATCCCATTCACCATGTTACTTACTGTTCACTTTGTCTGGCATGTTACTGTGTGTTCCCAACAGCAAGTGTAATGCCTGTTGCAAAGGAGCTACTCAGAGAAGTTTACTGAATAAAGATGGGTGATTTATTTTGGTGTTCAACTGAAACCTTTCCTATTTCAGCCCCACACCGTGTTGCTTTTCACTGTATATAACACATTACAGTCGTTTGCTGGGTACCAAGGGAGCCTCGAGGAACTATAAAGGAGAGGCGAGTGCAAAGCACCCTCTCCCTGCTGTGTCAGCAAGACTGGCACAGTGCCTCAGCACCCAGAGGTGGTCTCGATACATTGGTTGCAAACATCCTGCAGCTGATGCACAGAACATTCTCTGCCCAAGGCTATTTCCTCCCCTTTCCTCCCCCCGCATAAGCAAGGCTATATCAATAAACCATGGCTGCTAGACTAGGTCACTGTCCTCCCATCCGGAGACAGTTGTCCACCTAGCCCCCACTTTTAAGTATTTCTTTGTCTGTCTTTCTTAATCCCCCGTCACCCCCACTCCTGCCCGTTCGACTCGCTGCGCTGGACATGGCAGTAGTCCCTCTCTTAACTGAGATTTCATTTTCCATGGTTTCAGTTACCCATGATCAACACATCACCACAAGGGTAAGGACAGCACAGTAAGATACTTTTAGAGTCCACATGCACGTAACTTTTACTACAGTAGATTGTTATAATTGTCCTATTGTTGTATTATTGCTGTTAATGTTACTGTGCCTAATTTATAAATTAAACTTTATCATAGGTATGTATATATGGGAAAAAACATAGGGTTTGGTATTATCTGCAGTTTCAGGCATGCACTGCGGGTCTTGGTACGTGTCCCTCAGAGGTGGGAGGGGCTGATGTATTAGAAACACATCACAAGGAGCCAGATTAAATAGGCTCAAGGGAGAAGGTCAATTGAAGAGCAGACTGTAGCAAGCACCAAGAGAGTGGTTTTTCTCTTGGGCGTGAGCAGGAGGGTCTCTGAGAAAAGTCAGCATTATAGGGGATTGCTCAATGTTCTGTTGACCTGGATGGTAGTTACATGATGATTTATTTTATTGTTAATTACTTAACATTATAGAAACATCCTATAGTTTTCTGTATGTCTGTTATATTTCACAATAAAATTATAAGAAGTTAACCCATCATTTAATGAACAACCTGAAAAGAAAATTAAGAAGACCGTTCCAGGGGGAGGCAGGGTGGTAGATGAAGGGTAAACAGGGTCAACTACATGGTGATGGAAGGAGAACTGACTCTGGGTGGTGAACACACAATGTGATATATAGATAATGTATTACAGAATTGTACACTTGAAATCTATGTAACTTTACTAACCAGTGTCACCCCAATAAGTTTTAATTTAAAAAATTCCATTTACAATAGCATAAAAAAGGATGAGCTACTTAGGAATAACTTAACTAAGGGGGCAAAAGTCTTGTAGGTTGAAAACTATAAAATGTTACTCTACAAAACTACAAAATTAAAGACACCAGTAGATGGAAAGACATCGTATATATGGATTGGAAGACTTTAGTGTTAAGATGTTGATACTCTCCAGAGTGATCTACAGATTCCATGTACTCCCTATCAGAAAAAAATGCATCCTAAAATTCATATGGAATCTCAAGAAACCAAAATAATCTTGAAAAATAACAAAGTTGGAAGTCTCACGTTTTATATAATAAGTTAATTTCAAAACTTATCACAAAGCTACAGTAATAAAAAATGTGGCACTGGCATAAAGAGATGATGGAAGAATAGCTAAGAACTAAACCCTGGCACATGTGCTCAAATGATTTTTGACACGGATGCCAAGACCATTCAAAGAGGAAAAGGCAGTCTTTTCAACAAATAATGTTGGGAAATGTGGATATCCATATCCAAAAGAATGAAATTGGGACCTTACATCATATACAAAATCAACTCAAACTAGATCAAAGACCTAAACAAGAATTAAAACAACTAGAAAAAAACATAAAGGAAGAGCTTCACTAGATTGGGCATTGATTTCTTGGATATGATACCAAAAGCACAGGCAACAAAAAGAAAAGCAAACTGGACTTCATCAAAACTGAAAATTGTGCATCAAAGAACACAATCTACAGAGTGAAATGGGGCAGAATGTTTGCAAATCATCTATCGGGTAAGGGGTGAATATCCAGAATATACAAAGAATTCCTAAAACTCGACAAAAGAGCAAACAACCCTATTTCGAAATGGGCAAAGCTTGAATAGACATTTCTCTAAAGATTTACAAATGGCTAAACACATGAAAAGATGAAATGATGCTCACCATCAGTAGATGGTAGTTGCCAGGGGTTGGAAGGATAGGGTGATGGGAAGTTGTTTAATGGGTACAAAGTTTCAGTTTTGTAAGATGAAAAATGTTCTAGAGATTGGTTGCCTAACATGGTGAATGAGCTTAACACTATTGAACTATATACTTAAAAATAGTTAAGGTGATAAATTTTACATTTTCTGTATTTTACCACAATTTAAAATTAAAAATAGTTACTAATACAGGTATCAGATTATTTTTTTAAGTGGATTACAGACCTACATGTAAACTAAAACTATAAAACCCTTAGATGAAATCAGGAATAAATTTCCATAAACTTGAATTAGGCAGTGGTTTTCTTAGGTACACCAAAAGGAAAAACAGATAAATTGGAATTCATCAAAAGTAAAAATTGTAGGGGCCGGCCAAGTGGCTCAGTTGGTTAAGAGCTCGCTCAAGGGTTTGAGCTCTGAGCAACAGCGGTTTGAGTCCAGCCCGAGCTGAGCTGCTGCTGAGCTGCCAACAGGTGGCAGGATGGCTGAGCTAAAAAAAAAAAAAAAAAAAGTAAAAATTGTACTTCAAGAACAGCATGAAGAAAGTGAAGACAAACCACAAATTGGGAGAAAATATTTGCCATTCATTTGTCTTTAAGGAACTTATATGCACAATATATAAAGAACTCTTACAACTCAACAGTAAGATAACTCAATAGAAAAATGGACAGAGGACTTGAATAGACATTTCTCCAAAGATATACAAGTAGCCAATAAGCACATGAAAACATGGTCAACACCATAAACCATTAGAGAAATGCCAATCAAAATTCCAATTAGGAAATGAGCTACCGAATACCAATTGCTTTAAGTCCGTGACCTGTGGATGTTTGAAGAAGCTATGGTTCATTATTCTTCAAAACCGAAAATAATGATGGTAACTTAACTTGGATTCATATTCAGCTCTCTACTGTATTAAGTGATCAGAATAAAATTACTGTGATTCTAAACTTTTTCAAGCATTTCATGTTTTTCACTCTTGCTTTCCCTGGTTTCTATCAAATCTTCCCTTCTTTTTGGGATAAGGCCCACCACTCACCCAGTGAGATTCTGATGGGAGTTATAAAACCCAGGCCTGGCCGAGGTTATGGGCCCCATTCCTTTCCCCACATCTAATTCAAGGGCAGGAGATCCAGGAAATAGCTCTTTTGTAGAATTTTATGGGTGGCCCCTAAAAAAGATGGATCTCTCTCCTTTTTGGATCATGGATCTTATGGATTGTGCTTTTGGCTGCCACTACCTTCTTTCCCATCATGTAGAGAAGGCCAGCCTGAAAATGAAGCCTGGAAACCGAACAACAGTCAAGAGATGGAAGCAAAGAGCTCTGGCAACATATTCTGGGGCTTTGCCCCCAGCTGTCTAATGTATGATATTAATGTTTGAGGCTGTTACCTTGGTGAATCAGTACAGATGAAGCACCACTTCTCCCAGGAATCAAACACAATTTATTTTAGAACTAAACAGGACAGAATGACTAACAAAGTTGTATCCTAAACTTTTCCGAGAGACATCTTCTCCCCAGGCTCCATGTTATGTTATTCATTTTTACAGTCCCATCGGTGGCCTTCATAACATTCACAAAGCATGTACTAATTCTGTTATTTGATCTGAGGAGTCAAGTTTGAACATAACTTTTCCATTCTTTGCTTTAGAACAATTCTCATACTCCCAGCTCCTAACTCATCAAAATTTTCTTCTAAAAATCACTTAGAGCAAGAGGATCATTTATACATACTCAAAACAAGAACCATTTCTCCAGTGTCCACGGAGGGAAAAACTGACCTGACCAAACAGAAGAAAAACTTTCCTATTTTGGCTTCTCTGTTTTAATGGCCAGAAAAAAATCCCTTGTTGTTTTCATCTCAGTTTCAACATAATAGTGTCAATATCCTTTTCTTCCTCTGAATCTTGATCTGGCATCCAACTGAAAAAAATAAACGTATAATTAAATCAAAATTTGTCCAGTACAATCCAAAAGGAAATTGTCAGAACTCCAAAATAAATAAATAAGGCAATAAAAAAACAACTTCCATTTAAGGTCACAATAAGGATTTTCTTCTCAAGTAGAATCCAAATTACATTTAACTTTTTCTCTGAACTACACTCAATATATGTTCTTCTAGCAAACAACTTTCTAAATAAGTTTTGTTGGGTTAATATTCAAATATATTTGAAATCTTTATTTAAATAGCAACTGAGAAAACAAAGAGCCCTGAAAAATGGTAAGTAACAGGCAGACATCAGGGGATTAAAAACCCTTAAATTACCTGCTCATAGGATGACAGCATTAAGCCTCACAATGCAGCCTCTTAGGGTTGGGAGGCTGGGTAGGGGGGAGGGTACAAAAGTCAGCATGTAGGGCAAATTTGCATAGTAGTCAGTATCACTCCTAGGAATTCTACAGGAAGGAATTGAGAGATTTACCTTACTAATGAGTGCAGCACAGCCAGTGTGGGACAGACAGCCATTTCTTCATCTGATCACTACATGAAGCTAAAAGCCTTGTTTTCCATAAATGAATAGATCCTTAGATATGGGAACCATAACAGGATGAGATGCTTATACTATGAGAATGGCCGATTCAAACTTCCCGTCTCACCTTCACTCTGGGTTATACACTTATTGTTTGAAATAATAAGTGAAATTACCAGCACAATTTAAATTCCGTTTCAGGTTTCTGCCAAGCGTGTATAAGTGAAATTGCATTAGTTAAGTGTGACACGACCCACTTTCTTGGAGGACTGATAGTGAATCACTATTAGATATAATAACTTATATTTGCCAAGACTTTATTCTTGTACCTTCAGAAATTCGTGACGATCAGCAGCTGAGGGGCAGAATAACAGAACCATCAGCTATAGGTTTTCGTGAATGCTACCTAACATAACTCGCTACCATTTTTCCGAATGGTATCACTGCAAGCTATTTAACTCCATACAGCTAAATTTTAGTGTAAGGTTTTAAAAATCTTTTAACTACTTACCATTGATCTTTTACATTCAAAAAATGAATATTTCAAAGCTTTGCAGTTTCCTTCCTTCAGACACTGCCGAGGGGATTTTCCTTCCTGTGACACATAAAACAATATAAATACCTGGAAAATTTTCTCAGAAAATACAAAGTAACAGTCCTTTTGAGAATAGTTTTTTTAAAAAGTTAAGCAAGAGAAGAAAAAAGTAAACTAATTTGGGGGCACTTTAAGGGTGTTCTGGAGTTCCTGAAAACACCGGTTTCCACAGGATACTCTTCTTTAAAATGTTTATACAAAAATCTAGAAACTGGTATCGTCAGATCCTTATGGGTAAGAAAGAGAAAGAGTAAAGGTGAAAGTAGTAATGGTTTCTTCAGCATTCTTAAAACATTTACACTCAAGAACTCCTAAGGACAGAGAAGAAAGGTGTGTGTGTGTATGTGTGTAAGAGAGAGCGAGAGACAGAGACAGAGAGAGAGAAAGAGAGAAATATTCATATACGTGCATATGCAGTCAGGCATGTGGTGAATAAGAGGGCTTGTACTGGAAAGCAGTATCAAGTGGTTTTCAAGTCTCCAGTTATAGCCTTTTAATGCAAGCAATTTAATCTCCAACACATCTGCATTTTCCTATCCGCTGGCCCCCCCTCCCAGTCAAGTTCTCTGTTTTGAGCTCAGGTGAGTAAGACCTGGAAGAGGAATGGGAGGTACCACGAACAGAACTGACATATACTTGTGAGAGAAGGTCTGCCTGGGCCTGATGTGAAATGAACTCATGTTTCAACAGTGGCAGCTCAGAAGGAGGTTACAGAGAAAACTGGGTTAAACATTGTTCCTGTTCTGCCGTCAGGGTTGCTGCTACAAGAATGTTCACAGGAAGAATGTCTACTTCTGACTCTGAACAAATAAGTCGTAAAACTACAACTGTTCAAAGTCAGACTTGAGAGTAACTGCAAAAGTAGGTGAGAGCTAAAATTTACTAGTTTTCTTTCAAGGCCAACATGGAATAGAAATCCTAATTATACCCCTTCATTACCTTAAAATGTTTTAAACAAATCTACTGTTGTAAATTAACACAAAAGCATTTAAACATATTGGACACATGGAAGTATCTACAGAAAATATATTTCAGTTTGAAAAAGCAAGGTTAAAATTTAATAGCAGCAACATTTCTCTATTTGAATGCCTTACTCTGCTAATTTGTCTAGTAACTAAACCCTCACAAGAACTAAATTTACTAAAAAAAAAAAAATTCAGAGCAGTCCTAGATCAGTTTAGTGGGAAGTTAAAAAATATATGCTAGCTATTCCTGCTGACATAGGGCTCTTAATACCCAGGGGGAAGGTGTACACATGCAAAGGCCACTGGCAGTGTGAGCCCACAGTGGGAGAGTGCCTGCCAGAGGGGTGATGGGAATGTGCTATATAGGGGCTTGGTTCCCACGAATGAAATGTATAAAACAGCATCTGGAAAAAGTAGGATGAACTTGAATTATTTGAATTACCTGCTGTTTAATGGCATCGAACTATGATGTGCAATTCATCAGGGGAAAAAATGAAAACCTTACATTATTTTACTATTAAAGAAATAAAACACTGCTTATAAACATTTGCCTTATACAGTTTCTGACAATATAAAGAAGATCATGAAATCTTCCTACTCAAGGTTGAGTTCCAATGTAAAATGAGTCAAGCGATATTAAGGGTAAAAATGATCCCGTTCAGCTGAAACAGCTCAGACAGAAAAAAAGCTCAAACAGCCAGAATTCGTGCCCTAAAATCAGAATCAGGACATTTTTAGTGTTGATGCTAAACACTTGAGTGTTAATGAGGTAAGAGTACTACTTAAATAGAAACATCTGATAGTTCATGTACCAGGAAAAACAGAACCCAAATTTCACCTCTTCTGCATCATCGGAGATTTCCCCTCAAGCAGATTTTGACACCCTAACCCCACCACTGCAACGACTCCCCAAAACCACCCAAGAACTCCCAGACCCAACGTTCTGCCTAAGGACTGCCCCTTTTACACTCCACTTGAAGTCACCAATGAGGATGAATCTACCACGAACTAAATGCACATCCATTTAATGGGCTATTTATAAACATCAGGTTCTCCAAGGTGACCAAATTCAGCATCAAAACGGCCACATACTCAACCGGGGGAAAGCAGACTGTACCATGTGTCCTGGTCATTCTCTCTACCTACAGCTTTCTAACTTTCCAGAGATGCAATTTCTACACAGTGTGTCTGTCCCATTCATCTGTATGTCCCCTGAATTAGAGCTTGGCACTGAAATGTTTGCCAAATAAATGATTCAATCACTGCAAAAAACCAACTGGGTTTTCTCCCTGCCACCAGTATCCTCCTCCACTTTCTGAGTGTCTTTCCTCAGTCCTACCCTACGTTTCTGATTCCCTTGATCGCTCATCTCTGTGGTCTTCCTGATGCTGAATGTCAGGATAAAGTCCAAGCACCTCACTCTGACACACAAGGGCCTCCACACATGGAAACCTTCCTCTCAAGCCTTCTGTCACATTCACCATCCTCCAGGCCTACAGGCACCAGCTTCTCCTGGCCCTCCCACACCTCCAACTCTGCACAGGCTGTTCTTCCACAATCTCCCCGAAACCACCACAGCCCTCACTCCCTTGATAAACCACTACTCAATCGTAAAGACTCAGATCAAATGTCACCTCTGTGACAAATTTCCAAATTCTCAAGCAAAATAAGGTGCTCTCAACTGGGCTTCCAAAGCATTTTGCTCCTAAATCTACTCGTTAAACAAGTATGTACTAAATGCTCACACAACCCTTATCACAGGGATGTAGCCCCTTACCGGTCTGTTCTTCATTCCCATCAGACCAAACTTACGTAGGTAGTGACTGTAACTGATTCACCTTTGTATCCCCCGTGCCTGACATCATGCCTGCCACTTAACAGGCATTTATCTGCACCAATGAAGCAGATTGGAAACAGACCAGGACAGGGGAGCCTGGAGACAGGGCACCTCAGTTCCCTCATCTGTATAAGAAAGCTGGACTGGATAACCTCTTAAATTCCTAACTCGGAAGTTTTCCTAGACACTAGGAGGCCAGTCTGGCTGACTGCTAAAATCAGTGAACCAAACGTAAATCATGAATCAGTAGAAACGCTGGAGGAGCCGTCTTTTCTTTGAAATAGGAGCAACTTTCTGAAATTATATCACAACTGGTTGCCCTCTGTAATCGGAAAAGGCATTCAGAACCTAGCAGAGTAGCAGCATTCAGCAAATGTTTCTTGACCCGAAATGGTTTAATCTTTAGAAAAACCCAACGGGGAAGTATTGTTATCTCAAACTTCACAACGGAGGGAAAGGAGGCTGCGACGGTGGACATGCCCAAGTTCATTAACTTAGAGCTCTGCTCTGCACCCAGGACGGCCAACTTTGGGTCACGTCTCCGGACCGCCACCACAGGCCGGCCGGGAAACCTTCGCCGGCCCCGCCTCCCCGTTTCGGCGTCGGCCGCGCTACCTGGAGCACACAGTCCGACTGCAGCAGACATGCGCCCAGGTCCTCCTTCACGCCCGCGCACGCGCCGCCCTCCGGCTTGTCCTCGTAATACCGGGGCATGGCTCCGCCTCCCGCCCTCCGCCGCCCCGACTGCTTCTGTCCGCAACAGCAGCAACCCGGCTACGCGCGAGCAAAGCCCGGAGGAAAGGACCGGAAACCGGCAGCAACAATTTCCGGTGGTCCCTCGCGGACTACGGGTCCCGAGAGGCCGCGCGCGGCGGAAGTGGGCGCACGTCACGTGTCGCACCTCGGTCTACGTTTCGGGGAAGGGAGTTGTCCCAGCGACTGCTGGGCTGCGGTGGCGCGCTGCCAGGGAGCCGGTGGAGGCCGCAGTGGGGCTTCAGGTGAGGCCTGAGGAGCGCTCCGTGCGCGCGCGGCTCGGACCCGCTCGGTGCCTGTTCCCCCGGCCACTCGCGACTCGACGTCCCTCGGTCCTGAAGGGACATGCTCGGGTTCCGCGTTTCGGCCTGCGGTGACGTTGCCGGATAAAATCTAGGACGCCCAGCTACAGTTGAATTTCAGATAAATAACGAATAATGTGTAGTATGAGTACGTCCCACGCAGTGTTTCGGGCTTTCTTACACCAAAAAAAATCCCTGTAGCTTTGTAGTAGGTTTTATTTGCTACATCTGGCAATTCTACCTGCGGCCCGGGCTGGCGGGGAGCTGCTGGCTGGCGTCCGGGAGGCCTGGGGAGTGGAGATGGCCGCCGGGGCGTGGGGGCCGGACCGTGACCTGCGTTCTCCTGCCTTCAGACTGGTTCGACGAGTCTCCCACGGTGTCGTTGCCCTACTGAACTATTTAGGCAGTAAAACGCTGGACTTGAGTTTTGCTTTGTTTTTATATCACCTTTTAGGAAACAAGTTGCCTGCTGGTAATGCTCCAGTGGATCACCTGTTTCTAACTGGCCTAAACAAAGGCTTTCCATTAAAGGCGAGATACTTAAAGAGCACGGGATTTTGACCCTGCGTCAGAATCACTCTCTGTCTTCCCTCCACCCCTAGGGCTGCCTGAGGATTGAGGGGGAGGTGAAGTGTGGGAAATGCAGGGAAATTGTGTAAGTGTTGTTAGGGAACCTGTATAAGTGTTCCCATGGATTAGAAAGGTGTGGTGCTGCCCTTGCTTGAAGTGCAGTAGAAGGCTCTCCAGCCCCAAAACAAGCCTCTGAAACAACTGCATTCGTTTTGACCCCTGGGTCTTCTCAAGGATTGGGGTGGAAATGCCACGTGACCTCACTCCTATTTGACTCGGAAGAGGGGTGCTAGTAGCCAACCTTTACGATTACTTGTAAGAGATTTTTTTTTTCTTTCATAGGAAGATGTTACCAAGTATTTCAGTGACTTCCCCAGTGCAGGGGAACGGAGCATTGAGTTCCAGGGATGCAGCGAGACACACGGCTGGAGCGAAGCGGTACAAATACCTGAGAAGACTGTTTCGTTTTCGGCAGATGGACTTTGAGTTTGCTGCCTGGCAGATGCTCTACCTGTTCACTTCCCCGCAGAGGGTTTATAGAAACTTTCATTATCGAAAGCAGACAAAAGATCAGTGGGCCAGGGATGACCCAGCTTTCTTGGTGCTGTTAAGTGTCTGGCTCTGTGGTAAGTGTCAGTTGATCTGTGGTGAAGTTGAAGACCAAATTGAGTGTTTCTGACCAAATGTGTCGTTTGCTCTAAATATATTGTGGGTCAGAATTTGGGGATATTTAAAGCTCTGTCCTCCTTTCTAAAGCTTCAGAATCTTATAGGAAGGAAAGCTGTATTCTTCCTTGTTCTAAAGGTCCCAAGCAGATGCTAGAGTGAACTGTTACCTCGGAACTTTGATGAAAAGCAGAGGACAGAGTCACTTTGTGTCTTTTAACTACTCTGATAAATAAGTTGATACTCAAATGCAAACTTACTGTGAAAAGAAATATCAGGATTGGAAATTGCTTTTCACGATAAGACAGATTCAGAGACAGAGTTCTAAAAGTATTGACATGAACTTGAGAAGCTCCTTTTAAGTTCTCCAGTCGTGTAGTGAAAGGGTCCTAACTACCTTTAGGGTGTTGAAATGTGTTTAGATTTTTCTCACCTTTAACTGGACTTTAATATGTGTCTTCCCAGTACCGGAGGTGTTCTAAATGCTGGGCCATCCTGGTGAACCAGACAGATAGGTCCCTCTGTAAACTTGAGGTGTCTCCGTGGTCCTTTTGTGTTCCAAGGTGGCTTGCATTTCTAAACCACATAGAGCACATCTTGGGGGTTTTGTTTATATGTCTGTCTCCCTCACTGGACTGTGGGCATTTGGAGGGCAGGGACTTACGCCCTGTATCCCCAGACCTAGCAAAGTGCCTGAATGAATCTTGTAAATCTTTCTTTCAGTGTCCACTGTAGGATTTGGCTTTGTGCTGGACATGGGATTTTTTAAGATGCTAAAGCTTCTCCTTTGGGTCGTATTCATAGATTGTATAGGCGTTGGTCTTCTCATCTCGACGCTAATGTGGTAAGTATCGTACCTTGGGCTCTTCAGATACAGATATGGGGCCTCCTTTGGCTTGCTTCAGAGGTACAGGGGCTGATGGAAATTAAAACGATAGGTGAACTGAAAGCATCCATTTTGACTACTAAGGTTATTATAACTTGCCCTCCTGAGTGTGTACCTGTATCAGAAAATACTGTAGGGGTGGTCTACATTGTTAAAGTGCAGCAAATACGTGAGTTGAAATAATGATTACATCACGCTAACAAAATCCCTGATTTTGCAGAAACCTTATGCAGTTAGCCAATTCTGCTTAATTTGTCTGGATGATGGCTCCTTTTTCTGCTGCATTTGTCAGTAGGTCAGTACTATAAGGTAGGGGTATTATAGAGGGGTATTCCATGGAATCTTAATTTGAATCTTTGGCATTAAATGAACTACACTTGTAAACAAGGATTTTGTGATTAAACTTTTGGTGCTTTCCTGCTGAGGGAGTGATGTGCACGAACATAGAGGTTTTTTTGTTTTTTTGTTTGTTTTTTTAGCTGAGCCATCCTGCTACCTGTTGGCAGCTCAGCGGCTGCTCAGCTTGGGCTGGACTCGACTGCTCAGCTCAGGCTGGACTCGAACCGCTGTTGCTCAGAGCTCAAACTCTTGAGCGAGCTCTTAACCAACTGAGCCACTCGGCCGGCCCTCATAGAAGTTTTATTGAAAGGGTTCTCAGTCTGGCTTTGACTTTGGTTTAACAACAGCAGTGTACTGAGTATAAAGCTAGTGTTTGGTTTTTCATTGTTCTCACAGATCCAGGGCTCTGTGTGGTTGGCATGCTGGGCAAAGGGAGTGGGTGTGGTGAGTGAGCTCATTAGAGGGCGAGTGGTTGGGCAGGGCTGGTGGTCACTGTTGACAGGAGAAAACACCATGGAGCATTTTAGGCACAGAGAGACCTGGGTTCAAATGCCAGCTCAGCCATTTACTGTGTAATTCTTAGTCCCAGTCTCCTCTTTTGTAAAACAGAATTATCTATTTTGTAAGGTATTTGAGAAGTTTGTGGTAGGAAAAGCACCTGGCATATAGTGCTCAGTAAATGGTAGTTATTAATATTTTATTTTATTTTTTTTTAAGATTTTTTTTTTTATTGGGGGATTGGGGGAATGGGAACAGTGCTGGGGAATTGGGGGAAGGGGAGCAGACAAGTTGCTGTCGTCTTGTTCTTCATAGTTATTAATATTTTAGACAAAATTCTGAGAATATAATCTTTGATGATACCAACATTTTATTTTCCTTTGTAACTTCTGACTAGTACAGTTCAGGGTTTGTATGTGCTAGATAGTCAATAAATCATTAATCTAAAATTCTAAAATCTGGCCTAATAAAACTGCTAATATACCATATTTCCCAATGTATAAGACGCACCCTTTTTCGAAAAATTTGGCATCTAAAAACTGGGTGCGTCTTATACAGTGGTTGTATGAGCCAAAAAAGTGGAAAATGCAAATAAAATCTACAACCACTGTATAAGATGCACCCAGTTTTTAGACCCCAAATTTTTCGGAAAAGGGTGCATCTTATACATGGGGAAATACGGTACTTTATCAAAATATCCATGGAAAAGCATGATATATGAAAGAAATTCAATAAAGCTTTCAAAGGAACAGTTTGGTTTGTAGCAAGCGTTCTGCCATGAACACATTGACTCTGGAGGGCCGCAGAAGACTGGCATTCAGCACCTTTAGTATGACTGTATGATAGTGTGAGCAAGTTAACTAGAGAAGGACTCAGTATATTTTCGAGAACTTTCATTGTGTTGTGAAGTATGTGAGGAGCTAAAAAAGAGAAATGATGACGTGTGATTGGTCATCCAAGAGGCGCTGCAGGAACCAGCCTGAGGTGTTTGGGGGCGATGAGATCGGTGAGCCTTAGTATTAAGTGCAAAAACATAGATGTGGAAAAGCATGCTAGGTCGGGGAGTGTAGGGCGACACCGAATGGCTGAGGAAGAGATTTGTCTAGAGAAATTGGCCTTAAATGCAATTCAGAAAAAAGAATTGGACTTTATCTCATAGGCTGTGTGTGTGGGTTTGGAGGTGGGGGAGAGGTGGGGAGCTTGGAGGCTTTGAAGTAAGGAAATAATATCAAAGTTATACCACAGGAAAAGTCTTTTTTGTGGCAATGGAGATGAAGTTGAAGAGTGGCAAGGCTGAATTTGGCTGTGGGTCTGTGAGTAGAGGAGGCCCAGACTAGTGCGATGGTCATAGTGCGATGGGTGGGAGCTTCCTGTGCTAAGAAGATATGATGAGGGTAAAGAAGGGGAGGAGGCTGAGGCCTCTTTGGAATGGCCTGCAAGTTTTTGGCTTAAGAGTAAGTGACAGGTGAAGCCTTCCATGCCGGACACTGAGTTCAGGTGGCTTGTTGGATAGTGAGTGGAAATAAAGGTTCGGTAGACATTGGAGACATCACTGAGGCTACAACAGTCTGGGCTCAGACACGATGGCTTCGTTAATGTGAAGGTGGTAAAGGAAGGCCACAGTTGTGGCTGAGCTCTTGGAAGGAATGACTCTTCTAGAGGTGAGACTCGCACTGAGGATAGAGGCCTGGAAAGTGCCCGTTTAAGGAATAAGCAGTAGGACCACAGAGTGGGAATTCTTGGATAGTGAGCCAGGTGCTTATTCCATTCCTTTGATGGTGCATGTTCTTGGCTAAATGGAAG